CAGGGTCAGATAAGTACAAGTATCAGAAACCAATATAGTTGATCAGGTTGCTCTTTACATCCAGTCTCTGCCTCCCATCTCAACAAAACTAATTGAGAATGACTTTCTCAGACTAGTTCACACCTGTAGACTCTGTATTTGTTCATTCTACCATGCAGCACAGCATGGAAGCAAGCCTTGGGCTTATACCAGAGCTCTAAAATAAACGTCGTGTGTATGTGTGTGTGTTTACAAATATAAGCACCTTACATGAGTAGGCGTCAATCCATCTGCCAGGGAAAAATGGGGAGAGATTATGCGAATGGGGCCTTTATGTAGAATCAGATTACAGGTTCAATTTAGGGTGGCAAAAGATCAGTAACTCCAGAACTTGTTTCTGTTCTCCATCACAAGCAGAATCCAAATAATGGCACATTTCATTTGGCTGGTAACTTGTTTGGAAAGTTCCTCGTTACTAAGGTTGTGTTGGCCATAAATATTAGGAGGAATGGAGATGCTACTACCCAGATTCAGCAACCTTTGATGTCTCTATACCAGCCTTCTCCAACCTGGTTTTCTCCAGGCGTTGTTGACTCCCAACATCCATCAGCCCCAGCCAGTATGACCAATAGTCAGGAGGTTGTGGGAGTTGTAGTCCAACTCGGTTGTGAAAGGCTGCCCTCTACAGTATCTGATTTCAGTTGGATCGATTTAAATTAGTCATGCAACTCGACAAACAGCAGATTCAAAAATCCTCTACTGAATGACCAAATGTTTGCTCTATAATGAAAATTGCTATAAAATACAAGATGATTAAGAACTTTGCACTTTGCACTGTAGAAATGATAATAATAATATAGAACAGTAATTCATGATAAAAGTACACAATGTAAGTAGCAAAAATCCAGCAACTACGGTTTTCTAGCCTTGCCAGAGAAAATACATAAACTTATTGCTGCGTAGCACACAAGAGACCTCATTATGCCAGAGAAGGAAAGTCACACACACACTTCCAATCCTGCTAAAAATGAAAAACTACAAGCCCTTTTTGTTCCCCCTCCTCATGCCACTCCAGAACCTACAGACTTCCAGGGCCCTTCACAGATGTTGTCCATGCCTAACCCAAACTGCCCTCAATTTGCTATGCTCTTGCTATACTGGTCTTGTGTCCAACAACTCATCTTTTTCATACTATGGAAATTCAGAAAGCTCATATCTCTTGCAGCTCAAGGCATACAATGTACAGTCCCCAACTGTCATTTTTAACCTCAGCTGTTTCAGCTGATTTCACTCTCAGAACCTCATGTTCCTATGGCAACTGCAATCATTCCCAGAGTTCATTGGTGCTGAACATGTACATTCATGTTGTGCTGATATAGGAATTTAGGCACATCTGTTTTTCATCCCCCACCTCCACCCCCTGATGACTATTTTTTTGCCCCAAACTTTTTTTCAGCAAATTGCTGGGCCTCTAGCTTCATAAACTATGATGCAAAGCAAAGTGTTTTCTCTTATTAACATATTACTTCTATGTTGCAATTAGGATATAGCTGGAGAATTATAAATGCTGAGCTCATTTTTATGAACTATTAACTGGGGAAGGAGATCCCTTACCTGCTGTAAATTCAGCCACAGCATTGAATCAGGACAGCATTTGTCATGATAGTAAAATCATGCTGAATAAACCATGGGGAAAATAAACAGAAACACACACACAAAAATGGAATGTGGGGATTAAGCACCACTGTTCTGGCAGCATGATAAACAGTTGCTTATACTGTTTACAATAATCTTCAGGTTTATATATATTATACAATAACATGGATGGAGAATCATCTGCAGTTATGTAAACAACTATTAAACCAGGTATTTTATCTTCTACCACAGCATCTTTTAGTAATATGCAGTATTTTAAAATGGCGCTCTACATCAATCACATCATAGTGGGCTAATAAATCATGATTTGGAAGACCTGCATTCTAAAAGCCACAAAGGTAATCATGCTATACTGGATTGAATGCCCTGAATGCAGTACAGCACACTACAATTGCCTCAGTAAAGTCTCTCTATTAAAAATTCACGGTTTGCATCACACTGATTGATCTACGACTTTTATCATGATGAGTAAATCATTTTGGTCCCAGTTTAATGACAGAACATTTATCACAGAAATTATTTACCTGATTTCTTATGGGACAGTGCTCACTGCAGTCACATTTTCTCTTCAGTAGCATTCTTATGCCAACATGCCGTTCTTCCTCCCAGTTAATTACAATGCTCCAGTTTTACTGCTTTGCAGCAACACCAGGTAGCAGGACCTGCTTAGAGCATCTGCAGTTGTCCCTCCAGCCAGCTTTTGAGTCAGCAGGTTTTTTTAACCTGTTTCCACTTTTCTCAAGTGGATGATGTTGCCTTGAAAGTCCCAAGGAATCTAATAGGGGGCTAACTACAGTTAAAAGGTTCTGATTACTGCACTTGTTATGTTGCTCACATGCTGAGAAACAATACCTTGGGTTCAGATCCTTAAACAAACCTTTTAAGCTGAAATCTTTCCCAGTCTGCAGCTGTATTAGAATTTTTTTTAAATAATAATTGTCAGGGGTTCAGGGAGAGAGGCACAGATGAGGGAGGAGACTGAGAGCGAGGGGGAAGAATCCCGGAACGAGGAGGAGGAGGATGACAATGACTTGAGGGTTTCCATGAGTCTTTCAAGTGAATCGGAGGATTCCCAAAAGGGGGCGCCCCTGGTCAGGCCAAGGGGAGTCACAGGGGGGACTCGTCAGGAGCAGGGGAGCAGCAGGGGAACCCCGAGTGGGAGTTGGAGATCGGGGCCGGCTTCCCCGCCGGAACGGAGTGAAGAGGGTAGAGTTCCCAGTGTGACAGACGAAGCAGAGCAGGAAGCAGAGGGGGGAAGGAGATCGGGGCAAGACGTCCTGCCGGAAGGGGCGGAGAGTAGTACAGAGAGTAGTGTAACTGTCAAGAGGAAGGTCAGAGGTAGCGAACACGCGCCAAGTTCAAATGTGGAGGCGCGCGGAAATGCGGAGAGCCCGGAGGAGGAGCCTGGTCCCAAAGCACGGAGGAGGGGGGAGCAGGTGTCTGGGGACTCAGCGTCAGGGGAATCCAGGAGGGGAGGAACCCAGGGGGGCAGAAAGACCCTGCGGAAAAGGAAGGACAGGAAGAGGTGGACCAGCACAAGCCTCTTAAACTGGTGTAGAGGCGGGACTGATTCAGAGGGGACTTCAGCGGTCTAAGCGTAACAGACGTGGGGCTGCGCGCCTCGGCTGTGGAACAAACAATGTGCTTCAATAAAGACTTTTGTAAATAAAGTGGACTTGGCGTTGGTCTCTTGTGAGCTGGGACCTGAGGCGGCCCTGACAATAATAATATGTTTTTAATGTTTTGTTTTTAATTGTAGGTGTGTATGCTGCCCTGAGCTCCTTCAGGAGGAAGAGCAGGATATAAATTCTATTAATAATAATAAACTTCCCATAATCCTCCCAAGTTCCTTGCAGTATTGGCCAATGTTAACTCATTTCATAACGAAAATTTCTCTGAGTTTATAAAACTACAGTAATGTAAAAAGTAAACAGAGAAGATGGTTTCAGTCTCGCTGGTCCAGCAAGCATGATTCAGATGTACAAATTGGCTTTCTGCCTAATCATGTGCCTGTTTACTTAGAAGGGCTGGTTCACTCATGTGCTGTTGACTAGAGGGCTGCAATGGTGTGGTTGATCAAACACAAATGACATTGTATTATCACACACCAGCTTAAACACAAAACCTTTTTAGCCTAAGTTCAAACGTTCAGTTGGCAGATATTAAGCGTAGAGAAATAAGTTTATTTACATGCCTGTGTGAGCCAACCGTATATGTCCCACTGACATAAATGGGCCTTACTCCCCACTGTGAATGTACGTAGAATAGGGGCCTTCTGTGTGCAATGCCTATGGCTAGATTGTGTTGCAAAGGTTAAAAACCAAAAATAAAACAGCCACATACATTAAGCTCTAGTGGTTTATGATAGGGTAGGTCCATGTGCACTTGCCCCTTCTGGACAGCCGGTACACTCAGCAATGGTAGTACTAGTGATCTGTGTCAGATGGTGAGAAAAGCCACTTTTGCCTAATCAAAACTGACTCTGGTGACCATTTGTTCACCAGCTTCAGAAGTACTGATATGTCAGTGCAGTTCACAGACGCATACTCAGATCTGTACACTGTGCACAGCATTAAATCTATACTTTGTATTTTAATATCATACTACATCATACTGCTGCTTTTGCCTCGCAAAGCAGCAAATTATAGGTGTTAAATTAGGGAAGTTCATTTTACACAGTTTTTCAAAACAGATTCTACAGAGGGCAAATGCAAAAATATATCCTAGAAATATGGGAGGGGGGGAAGAGAAGATTAGCAGCACACTAGAAAATGTTTAAAAGCATGTAATTACATTAGCTGCATTTTAAATAAGGATTCTGAACATGTAATAATTATTCTAAACAACTGTACATGTTTAGAAACATCAGGAATTCATCTTCTGCAGTTGCTTTTTAATATTATATACAAAGGGCTCAACCCAGCATAAGTTAATCATGATTTCATTAAATGAAATCAATGAAACTCAAGTTATCTGGGACATTATCCACTACTAACTTTGCAAGGTTGTGCCAACAATGTACAAAACAGAACAATGATCTGAGAAATTTAACTTGGACAAAATTGCAATACCCATTTATGAAATATGTGAGAAAAGTGTAATGAGTAAGGGTCAAGTGATTTTAGTCCAATGTGTGACTACAAGAGCCAGGGATTTCCTACTAGATGACATAGCAGTACTGGTATTTTTCTCTTACTTTTGATCCTATGTGGAAAATACACAAGGAGGATTTCCTTGATTAGTCAACATGGGACTACCATTTACGTAAGCAGCCAGACCAAAGTTTGGCTAGTAAGTGATAGCCCTCAATGATAAGCAATTCTTCCTGGACAACTAAGAAATAAAGATGAACACAGCAGCAGAACGAAAGTGAAAAAACAGCAAGCTGCTATTAGAAAATATATTACACTGAAAGCCAGATAATTAAAAACAAGTGACACAGTGAAACATCCATAGCTATAAACAATTAAAATATGTTCATGGTAACCTTTGTTATAGTCAATAACAGAAAAGGTACATTTAAGATTGACCTATAAATTCATTCAAGCAAGCGATAAAAAATTATTATTATTTCTATGAGGTTCTTTATTCAGCGGTTCTGATGAAATCTGAAATGGTGCAATTTGGATTTATGCCAAAAATTTACAACCCCAGCTCTAGTTCATTATCATGTCAAATCCTGTGACTGCAGTAGCCCAAGAGCCTCATCCTACTGGAAACCCAGAGTCTTCTGTCCCCTTTGGCCTTGGCTAGAGTGTGCCCTGTGAAAACTTGTAGGGATTTTACTGCATGAAGAAATGATAGCAACACCATCCCTCCATGTTATAGTGTAGGGAAATTCTTCTGTAAGCCCACAAACTACATCCTAACTAATCAAGATCTTAAGTCAATTCCATCATAAGATCCTACTACATGAAGTAATAAATATCCATGCATATCAGCCATGCTGTTATCAAGCAATTTCTTAGATATTTTTACCTGTTCTTACTTGAGGGTGCAGCTATTTTCTGAACAATTTTCATTACACACCAAATCTCTTTGTTTGACTGAAATAGAAAATTGATTTTCAATATTATTAGAATACATTCTGCAAAGAACGTCACAGCTATTTCATCGCTGAGTTTCCAAAGTTTTGGGTTTATATACAGGAACATTTTTCTCTTGAAGCGATGGTAGTCCTTTGATTATATCAGCAGCTTTCTCTGCTACCATGATGGTTGGGGCATTTAAATTTCCACTTACGATACTAGGCATTATTGAGGCATCAACAACTCTCAGGTTTTCTGTCCCTATAACTTTGGTCTGGGGATCAACCACAGCAGTGGGATCAGAACTCTGTCCCATTTTACAAGTGCACGAAGGATGGTAGGCACTATCAGCCTTTTGTCTTATGAAGGCATCTATTTCTCCATCAGACTGAACATGGCTTCCTGGTTGAATTTCAGGTCCACGGAATTTTTCAAAGGCTTCCTGAGCAAATATCTCTCTTGCTAGCTTCACACACTGGCGAAATTCCCAGACATCTATTTCTGTAAATAAGAAAGACAAAGACAAAGATTCTAAGCATGCTCAACACTGAGCATTATTACTGTACTGCCTATTGCATACAGGCAATATCTTAGAAATGCAAGTAAAATGTGACAAGTCAAGAACAGGACAGGCAGGGAATGGGTACTGCCTTATTTAATACCTTTTTTGCTTCTCCCACAAAGCTGGCTCCAAGGTCCATTTCCATCGTGCCAACCTTTAGGCCATCTTGCTCCTCTTCCAGTACAAAACAACAACCCACGTGTCAGCAGCTCTGTCCCCTCCAGTGAGCCACTTCTTAGCATTTCACTCAGTTCACTCCAATCGAGATTTACTATGTGATCAACATTAGTGTTGAATTCAGACAACCCTCTATTTTCTAATTGAAAACTTTAATGATAGAGCAAATTCATATAGGCATGGAAGCGGCATGGTATGCATGTTTATGTATCTGCTCCTTCAATGGTGGATCATGCAACTGCAAGAACTTTGCATGCACAGCACAGCACACAAAATTTTAGACCGCAGTACTACAACCAGAAGTTTAGGAATATCCAGTAGAAGTAAACAGAAGGTCCTCAACATGCCTTTCTAGACATTTTAATTGTGGCCTGTACTGTTTTTATTTTGTATTGGCTTACTTCAGGCAACCTGATTCCATTGGGTTCTACCAACCTGGAAATGGCAAATTTTCAGGAACAATTTCTAGAAACAATTGAAGGTATTTTTGTTCCTACAAATTTTTCCAGCTGGATAAAAAGGTCTATGCCATGAATGTGTACTCTGTATTATTTTTAATTTTGCTGTCATTTTTAGTGTTTTTAATGCTTTGTACATCGCCATGAGGCATATGTTGAAGGCAATTAATTAATAATGGTGGTGGTGATGGCTACAACAACAACAGTTACACATGTGGGGAAACTGAGCTCTCAGTAGATGATACATGACCACTTTGCCATGTCCTACATAGTTTGGGATGAATGGAAAATGATACTAAAATGAAATACAAAGCAGTGCTCTCATGGTTTTGAACCACAAACCAAAAGGGACAAGGTATAGAATACCTACACAACTTACCTGTTGACAAATAGTTGGGCTCAAGGACAGGATGCTCTCTTGGGTCTGTACCTTTCAGCTTTAGATATCCTATACTTGTACTTCGCATAGGTCCAACATGAACCTGCAACAGCCGCCAAAGAAGATATGAAACAAGCTATCAGGATGTTCTTTCTAAATTAATACAGTTTTAAAAACTGACTTCTCTATAAGTTGTCCATAGTACATCTGAATACAAGAACCTCAGCTCCGGAACAGTTAATCCCTAACCCACAATGCAGACAAAACATCCTCCTCAAATCACCCTACTGCCAAACAAACCACCATACAAAAACAGGAGGCAATACATGTGCACCCTCAAAAACAATATCCAGGGACATCTCCTCCCTCAATCATTCCACCTTTCCCTAACTCAGCAGGCGGCAGCAAGGTCCCTTTTCGCCTTTTCTGAAGAATTCTGAGGTGAGGCTGTGAGGCCTCCACCCTCTTTCTTTCCTTTCTTATGAAAAATTATTACTATTACTATAATTATATTATTTATTTATATTTCACCTTTTCCCCAGTCAGTTCTAAAATAGAACAAGATGTCCTGATTCCACATGCAGCCCAGAAGCATTAATGGGAAGGGGAAGTAAAGAGAATAGAGCATGTGCAGGCCTGTGGGTCTCTTTGTAGTCAACCCAGCCACAGACGAAAATAAAAGAGAGTCTGCAAAAATGATTTTTTAAAAATTAAAAACCAGCCTAGAAGGGACAGGAAATCCCACTGGGCACCAACAAAAATATCTGATGGATACAATGGCATCTGTGGGTGCCATGTTGAGGGGTACCATGAAAGAGAAATGGTCTGATTTAGATCTTTCTCTGCTGTTTTACTATGACAGAGTGATTACAAGTGCTGAAGGACATAATCTGATTTTTCTATTTACAGTGGTACCTTGGGTTACAAACGCTTCAGGTTAGAGACTCCGCTAACCCGGAAGTAGTACCTTGGGTTAAGAACTTTGCTTCAGGATAAGAACAGAAATCGTGCAGTGGCGGCGTGGCAGGCCCCATTAGCTAAAGTGGTACCTCAGGTTAAGAACAGTTTCAGGTTAAGAACGGACCTCCAGAACGAATTAAGTTCTTAACCAGAGGTACCACTGTATATGCTACAGGTAAAATGGAATTATGGCAGCACAATTTTTCAGGTAGTACTTTTGTTTCTTCATAATTAGTGTTCTTGTACCACTCACTTGGTAAGCTTCCAGTTGAGAAGCAACACGTCCATGATCAATCACCTGAGAAGGGAGGAAGTGGAACTGAATATCTGGATGAGAAACTCCAGGTCTACTTCTGATAAATCCCCCAGACTCTAGATGAGCAGTGGCTCCGTCACCTGAAGAATGGAAATACCATAGGGGAGATTCAGAAATTGTGCAATGGGGAAGAGAATTTTGTTTTTTATAAAAAAAAACCAGTTCCGGCTGAGAGAAAGCATATTCCTGGCAATATCCTTTCTGAAGGCTTCTGAGGGATATGACTCCTCCGTGTGGAGGTAGAAGACGCAGTTGGAGGGGAACACGTGGAAGAAACCACGAGTTATCTTGATGCTAATACGTGGATCCTGGACAGCCGTGTTCTCAGAAGAAAGCCCCACTAAAGTCAGTAAGATTACCAGTAACTGACAAACTAAGAGCAGGCAGGAGGAAGGCGGTTAGAAGAGGCAGCCAGCCAGCCTAGTAATCCACTGTCTCCATCACTGCTTAGGATAAAGAATCAGCAGGGATAAGGTGGTGGTGGCAGATCGCAATGCCAGCTGACTGCCACTTTTGACCGCCTTCCTGCAGGGCTCCACCTACCAGGTCACCCCTTTGTCCTGCTTGGCTGCATCAGCATGAGGAGAAATGGGAAAGGTCTCGTGGGTTATTGGGGTGAGGAGGAGGGTGTTGGCAAGGGCTAAATGTAGGGGTTGGGCATGCTGTAAGGGACTGGCAAGGTCCAGGGGTGCGGAGTTGTCAAGGTGTGTGTGTGGGGGTGTCTGGTGAGGGAATCTTGGTAAAGGGTATAGGTGGGGTTGGTGAATGAAGAGGTTAGTGGGGGGCCTGGTATAGATAAAATGTGTTTACTGGTCAAAGGTTTCTCTAATCAGAGTGCTCACAGGTATGTACATTCACTTGGATAGCCCCTTTTTATTTTAAAAGCCAATTTGCTATCCCTATCTAACAGCATCACATGACATTATTTTAAGTCCTACCTGTACATTTCCAGAACCATTCAAGCCCAATCTTGACCATCTGAAGAGGCTTTTGTGCTTTATACAATGTTACAGGTTGAGTGCATTTCTGTTGTACATACACTTCTAAATGATCTTGAAGATTCTGGCCAACTCCTAGTAGAAACAACAACAACAAAACTGCCAACATTATAGAAATAAGTACAGCTTGGATTCTAAGATAAGGTAACTTAAGGAACAACATGGGGGTAAAGTTTTCCATCACTCCCTGTAGCTGACTAACTTCCTTTAGTTAACTTATCTTAGATTCCAAGGCAAGCAGTTCATCAGTGTAAGCAGAACTATATTCAACCCAAACACAGTATTGGACACACACCTGAAAGGTTGCAGACAACAGGAATTCCTAATTTTTTTAGGTCATCTGCATTTCCAACTCCAGACAGCATAAGTAACTGTGGGGAATTTATGGCACCTCCACTTAAAATAACTTCTTTACTAGCAAAAACCTGAAATAAAAGAAAGCTAATTGTTAATAAATATATTTTTGATACAATAAAATCAGTATTTCAAAACAACCTTTCAGAGAGCAGCTGGGTGATAAATGTCAATTTCCATACAATTTGTGTTAGGCCAGACAGATGAGTATAGATAGTCAGCCGGATCTGACTGTTTGACAAACACACAAGATGTAACCGGCTGTGCATTCACATAAACAATACTCTTCTATATATTCTAATCACAATATCAAATGTTTATCTTGCATATAAACAACACATAAAGTGTAATAATATATACGGAAGTCCCAATAGATCAGTTCATTCATAAAGACCAAATATCTGGTAGTTTCTGTTCCACATATGTTCATAAAGTCCATATTGGAGCCTACTACAGTTCTACAGAGTTGACAAGGATTTCCGGAATAATGCCTTGTTTCGCTCTCATGGGCTTCATCAGTGGTACGTGTTCATATGTAGTATATCAAAGTTTCATTTGTCCCAGTGTAACTACTTCAAGCAGCACAGCAGCCTTGCTATAATTCTGCTGCAGTAACATTTTATTTTTATTGCAACTAAAAATCTATTACCTTTCCAGAAATTTCTTTCTGGATAGGAAATTTAAATCTTACCTTTTTCTTTTCTCCATTTTTAACATACTCAATGCCAATGGCTTTGGTCCCTTCAAACAAAATTTTTGTAACAAGTGTACTGTCTTCTGCAGACAAGTTTGGGCGTGGCAATGCAGGGCGAAGGTAAGCACTAGCTGTGCTCCATCTTTGACCTACAAAATATAGGTTTGCATATTACAGAAGTAACCAAAATAATCTATGCCCTTTCAGAGCTACAGAAATGACTTTCTTGCTGTTTTGAAATTCTGCATTTGTTCTTCTCCTTTAAAATAACTGCTCCAATCCAGCAACCTGCAATCTATTAACTTCCCACTGGAATAAGTTTACACACACACACACATCTCCCATACATAATATGGAGGGGGGGCACCCTGCTGGGCAGGACGCTGTGTGAATTTATCATTTCTGCCCCTAACTGAAGTTCTGCCTCAATCTATAGAATCACAAATATAACACTCTATGCCTGTTGCTGTACTCTTAATCCCACCCGACTCCAAAAACTGACAGTGCTGATCACCTTTGCTGGGGGCAAGGGAAGGGTTCGAATAGTAGTTGTGTGGACCGGGTGCATAATACCTTGCAAAGAGAGAGAGAGAGAGAGAGAGAGAGAGAGAGAGAGAGAGAGAGACTGTCTACATTTAAGAATTAAATGCAAATCAAGTGGTTAAAAGTGCTGTCAAAGATTATTCTAGAAATTTAGTGGGTGCAAAAGATGGCCATCAGTTGGCATTCTCATTCAGCCAGAAAAACTAATTTCAGTAAACTGACAAATCAGTTCTACTGAAGTGAATGCTTTCTGCAGATTGGTTTCCATAGTAATTCCATTATAGATCATTTAATCCAAGTCAACAAGCCATGTTTACCAGAAGAGAGGCAAATTAGATACCTTTGTGTGGTTATTGTTGCTGTTTCACACTCATTTCTGGCTTCCCTAACTAACCCCACAACAACTTCTTATAAATATTAATTATGTTGAATAAAAAAAAAGAATATAAGACCCTGCCGGATCAGACAAATGGCCCATCTGGTCCAACATCCTGTTCTCACAGTGGTCATGTATTTGGCTCGCAAGTTGGATTCAAGCACAAGAGCACTCTTCCCCACCCTCTAGTTTCCAGAAACTGGTATTCCAGAAGCACTGCTGCCTCAAACTGTGGAGGCAGAGCATTGGTTTCATGTCTAGTAGCCATCAACAGCCCTCTCCTCCATGAATTTGTCTAATCCTCTTTGGAAGTGTTGGTGGCCATCACTGCCTCCTGTGGGAGCAAGTTCCATGGTTTAAATATGCACTGTGTGAAGAAATAACAGAATGCATAAAATAAACACACTTTGCAAATATACATAGCATAAAAAGATCAGCAGCAGTGATCAAACTGTCTTTTGGATAAACTTGTCCATCATTAGTGATTTTACTGAGAAATCCTTGGCAAACTTCCAAGGAATCTCAGGGCTTCACGGCACAGTTTCAAAAACAATTGTGATTATCCATGTAGAATGATTATTATTATTTGGTAAATAGACAAGTTTACAAACATTATTTGAAGGCTAACCTTTGTGTATTGTCATATCCATCCAACCAAAGCCTTCTTGTTGAAAGCCATTCATATCCTCTGTGAAGGGATACCCAGCTTGTTGCGCTGCATCCAAAAATGCACGGTGAAGAGGGTTTTTTGTTTTTCCCCTGGTCACATTAAGTGGACCATTCCCACCTCGATACAAATCAGCACCCAGCTCATGTGTCTGTGCTTTCTTAAAATAGGGCAAACAAAACTCATAATCCCATCCAACAGCCCCTTCCTTGCTCCACCTGTTGTAATCCTCTGCGTGGCCCCGAATATACACCATAGCATTGAGGGATGATGATCCCCCCCACACTCTTCCTCTGGGCCAATACATAATTCGATTATCCATGTGCTTCTGCGGTGTTGTGTGGTAATACCAGTTATATTTCTCATCACATAGGTTGTAGGTTAGTGCAGCGGGCATATGGATCTTCCACAGCAATTGCTTGCTATCCAAAATGGTATCTTTTGGCCCGGCTTCCAGGAGTTTAACAGTGCTGTGAGGATCTTCTGTCAATCGGTTGGCCAATACACATCCTGCAGATCCAGCTCCAACAATTACATAACTGAAAGAGTCCACATTCTTGGCACTAACTTGAGATAAAGCTCGTGAAGTGTTCAGTTGTTGTCCACTGAAGGCTTTGGAATTTTTCAGCGTATGTTTTCCAGTTAATAATGTTCCTACTCTATGCATTTGGCAGGCAAAACCACATTTTAGAAATTCTTTGAGTAAATAAGACATGTTTTCCTCCGTGGATCTTCTGGTATACACAATATAGGTTCAAATACTTTAACCTAGAAAAAATAATTGAAATGTATGGCTCAAATAGATAAATCTTAACAGGTTTGTAAATATGTGGTCTGAATCATAGATTTAAGCCCTAATACTGTTGTAGTAGAAACAAAAACATGGTCAGTTGCAGGGCTATCCTGTTGATAACTTTCCAGACATGTAACTATATTAGTCTGTTGCAGCAAAAACAACAGAGTGTCTTAAAGACTAGCAAATTATTGTGGCACAAGCGCTTTGGAATATCTTTGGCATATCACCCACTTCATCAGCTCCACCTGGTACCAGCTCCAACTGGTACGCAGGCTGAGACCCTACCTGCCTGCGGACTGTCTCGCCAGAGTGGTGCATGCTCTAGTTATCTCCCGCTTGGACTACTACAATGTGCTCTACGTGGGGCTACCTTTGAAGGTGACCCAGAAACTACAACTAATTCAGAATGCGGCAGCTAGACTGGTGACTGGGGGCAGCCGCCGAGACCACATAACACCTGTCTTGAAAGACCTACATTGGCTCCCAGTATGTTTCCGAGCACAATTCAAAGTGTTGGTGTTGACCTTTAAAGCCCTAAACGGCCTCGGCCCAGTATACCTGAAGGAGCGTCTCCACCCCCATCATTCTGCCCAGACGCTGAGGTCCAGCGCCGAGGGCCTTCTGGCGGTTCCCTCATTGCGAGAAGTGAGGTTACAGCGAACCAGGCAGAGGGCCTTCTCGGCAGTGGCGCCCGCCCTGTGGAACGCCCTCCCATCAGATGTCAAAGAGATAAACAATTACCTGACATTCAGAAGACATCTGAAGGCAGCCCTGTTCAGGGAAGTTTTTAATGTGTGACATCTTAGTGTATTTTTGGTCTTTGTGGAAGCCACCCAGAGTGGCTGGGGAAACCCAGCCAGATGGGCAGGGTACAAATAACAAATTATTATTATTATTATTATTATTATTATTATTAATCAAATCCAAGACTCTTTGTTTTCAATGCCAGGATGTATGTGTTATCACCAACAGCGATTTTGTGAATAGCCCGTTAATGGTGTAACTATCTTTTTTAATTTTTTTTATTAATTTTCCACATTTAGAAGAGAAATAACATACAAAACACAAAAGAAAACACATTACAATACTAGAGAAAAAGAGGGAAAAAATAAAAACACTTCTTACTTCTAAAACCTAATTAACTTTCATTGTTAACTGACTTCCTCAAATCCCCCCTAACTGAATTTCATTGTATCACCTTGTAACAGTTCTCCAATATCATATTTCTAATAAAATTTACTTCTTCAATTTACTATCCTCTTGTTAATGGTGTAATTATCACTGCCTGCACTTCCTGCATTTCATTTTCCTCTTATCTCATTGTTTGCAGTCCTACCCCCACCCCCACCCCACCCCACTGTGTATATGAGAGCTTCTGATGGAGATGTCATAGTGTGAGCAAAATGGTGCAAATGCAGACGGTTCAGTTAATATGTTGGACCCAAACTGTACTGGGCTTTAAAGGTTAAAACCAGTACTTTAAACTCAATCCAGAAACAAACTAGAAAGCAGTGCAATCAATATAACGTAGGTGTCACTGGTACCATACTCCCATCAGGGCTCTGGCAGCCGCACTGTGAACCAGCTGAAAATGTAGAGTGTATTACAGGAATCTAGTGTAGACTTGCCCAGAACGGAGTTCCTCAAACCGGTCCGCGGGCCAGATCCAGTCAGCCATGGTCCTGAACCCAGCCCGCCCAGCTGATCGCTCCAGACCTGCCCCCCTCGGCAAGGCCCAAACTCAGAAGCGGGTGGGCGGGAAGAGCCCTGAGGTAAAAGCACATGTAACAAAGCCCTGGTAACGCGGTTGCTACCTCTGGTGCTACCAGCTTGATAACAGTGCACTGCCCCTTTAAGCCGCCGGAGGGCAGGACGGCAGCGAAGGAACCCTTTCCACGGTCAGCCCTTACCCTCCTCCCTTCCCCTCAGGCCGGCTCCGTTGGTCAGCTTTTTTTTTTTTAAAGCCAAAGTTGTTCAGCTTGGGGGGGGCATTGACCCCACAATTGACCAGTACAGTGGTACCTCAGGTTACATACGCTTCAGGTTACAGACTCCGATAACCCAGAAATAGTGCTTCAGGTTAAGAACTTTGCTTCAGGATGAGAACAGAAATTGTGCTCCGACGGCGTGGCGGCAGCAGGAGGCCCCATTAGCTAAAGTGGTGCTTCAGGTTAAGAACAGTTTCAGGTTAAGAACAGACCTCCGAAACGAATTAAGTACTTAACCCGAGTACCACTGTAGATCCCAATCGACCTGTTGGACATGCCTGGTCTAAGAGAGGTCTAAGAGAACAGGATAACATCTCTCACTGGGCCATTTTCTAGTGTAAGTCATCGTCCAGAATGAAAAAAGCCAATTGCCATTCCATAAATGGCTCTGAAGCCACACTGAAATACAGTGGTACCTTGGGTTACAGACGCTTCAGGTTAGGATTCTCCGCTAACCCAGAAATAGTACCTTGGGTTAAGAACTTTGCTTCAAGATGAGAACAGAAATCGTGCAGCGGTGGCAGAAGGCCCCATTAGCTAAAGTGGTACCTCAGGTTAAGAACAGTTTCAGGTTAAGAACGGACCTCCAGAACGAATTACCGTATTTTTCGCCCTATAGGACGCACTTTTCCCCCTCCAAAAATGAAGGGGAAATGTGTGTGCGTCCTATGGGGCGAATGCAGGCTTTCGCTGAAGCCTGGAGAGCGAGAGGGGTCGGTGCGCACCGACCCCTCTCGCTCTCCAGGCTTCAGGAAGCTATCCGCAAGCCTTGGGAGCCCGCAGGAGTTCCCGCCGGGCTCCCAAGGCTTGCAGACAGCAGCAGCCCGAAACCTGGGGAGCGCAGTGGAGCACGCCCCGGGCTTCGGGAAGCTCTCTGCAAGCCTAGGAAGACCGGCGCGAGTTCCCGCCAGGCTCCCAAGGCTTGCGGATAGCAGTTTGTTCTGGGGGCTGGGGGAAGCTCGGGCTTCCCCCGCCCCAGACTCGTGCCTGGGGGAAAATAATTTCCCCCCCTTTATTCCCCCCCCAAAAAAAACTAGGTGCGCCCTATGGGGCAAAAAATACGGTAAGTTCTTAACCCAAGGTACCACTGTAGATTCATAGAATCAACATAATCCAATACTATCTGGTGTTAGAAGACCACCACCCACTCCAATACCTTGTTCAAAAATGGCAAATTAGAGACTGGATGGTAATTCTCCAGTGCCACTGGATCTAAATTTGGTTATTTTAGGAGTGGGTTAACATGCATATTTTAAATTGTGTGCCAAGTACTCAGAAAATTATTGCCAATTCCTCCAAGTTCTAATCTACAACAAGGCTCTCTTATTATTGACACAGCTAAGATATTTCTGTAGCTTTGTCAGAGCTACATAATCTCAGATCATATCTATTTCACAGAACAGAATTTGTGAACAGTGAAAGTAGAGGATCATTCTGAGGGCTAATAATAATGGAAGGGGTGGAATGTTTTATAATAAATACAAAAAATGAAAAAATATGAAAATATGAAAAAATAATGTTACTTTAAATGAGTACAAGTTACTGCAACTATGATGGTGGAACTTGATTTCATGGTTTGTTCTTCAAGGTAATCTAGATAACTAGGTTTTTTGAGGGACTAGGGATATCTTACAGAGAACTTTCAGCACCCTCAAAGCTACGTCCTTGTTTCCTAGGCCTAGACAGTCAAACAAACATTTTCAACTTGCTAAGTTCCTAGCTTAGGAAAGCTTCTGAGAATCTTTCAGTCTTATTTTGGCAGGAATCACCATTCTCAACACACTAAATGGGAGTGTGATGATGCCAGCCTACTTCTTTTCCTGTAGACAAATATAGTCTAACCTAACTTTCCGACTTCCTTTTGCCCCTCTTATTTTGAGCAGAGTCCTAATATAGTATGTAAGCATCGTGTAAAAAGGCTCCATGTGTTTACTTGGAGCTGTTTTGCCTGGCCCACTGCAAGTCACAGGCATGCCGCTGACCTTTAATGATGGAGGAGGAAGTCCAGGGAGAATGCTCACACATAGTCTTCCACATGATTGAGCTCCCTATCCCTGATCCCACAGAAGCCTATTCACAAGCAACTGTTCCACAGAATCACAGAATTGTAGAATCGAAAGAGATCCCCAAGAGTCATCTAGTATAGACATTTAGTGGGTGAGCCCTGTGGCAATTAACATATGAAGGAGTTACATTAAGTTTTAAATGCTCAAATATCTTTTTAAGCATTTTGGATGCATATTTTGGGTGTAAGTGGTATTAGCGGATAGTCTATGGAATCAGGCACATCTGCAATAAACTTATGGTGAGAAAGAGGCTTGCAACGCTATCAAGGGACAACTTTAAAATACAGTGGTACCTCGGGTTAAGTACTTAATTCGTTCTGGAGGTCTGTTCTTAACCTGAAACTGTTCTTAACCTGAAGCACCACTTTAGCTAATGGGGCCACTGCAGCACGATTTCTGTTCTCATCCTGAAGCACAGTTCTTAACCCGAGGTACGACTTCTGGGTTAGCGGAGTCTGTAACCTGAAGCATATGTAACCTGAAGCGTATGTAACCCGAGGTACCACTGTAGGTTTAAATGAGGGGCATCCCTCGTAAACAAAGACACTTGAAAAATATGGAAATAGTCTGTGTGGAGGTAGTAATGCTTCTGAATAGCAGTTATTTGAAACTGAAGGAAAAGGGAATGCTTGGGTGTTTGCAGGTTTCCCACTGGTATCTGGCTGGCAATTGTGAGAACAAGGTGCTGGATTAGAGGGGCTACAGGCCTCAGCCCAGTATACCTGAAGGAGCGTCTTCACCCCCATCGTTCAGCATGGATGCTGAGGTTCAACTCCGAGGGCCTTCTGGTTGTTCCCTCCCTGTGAGAAGTGAGGTTACAGGGAACCAGGCAGAGGGCCTTCTCAGTAGTGGCGCCTGCCCTGTGGAACGCCTTCCCATCAGATGTCAAGGAAATAAACAGATACCTGACTTTTAGAAGACATCTGAAGGCAACCCTGTTTAGGGAAGTTTTTAATGATTAATGTTTTATCATGTTCTTACTACAGTGGTACCTCGGGTTACATACGCTTCAGGTTACAGACTCCGATAACCCAGAAATAGTGCTTCAGGTTAAGAACTTTGCTTCAGGATGAGAACAGAAATCATGCTCTGGCGGCGCGGCGGCAGCAGGAGGCCCCATTAGCTAAAGTGGTGCTTCAGGTTAAGAACATTTTCAAGTTAAGAACGGACATCTGGAACGAATTAAGTACTTAACCCGATGTACCACTGTACTTTCTGTTGGGAGCCACCCAGAGTGGCTTGGGAAACCCAGTCAGATGGGTGTGGTATCAGTAATAAATTATGATTATATTATTATAGGTCGGGTCCTGCAGGGCTCTTTTGTTCAGATGCCAACAAGGACCTGAGCAAGCAAACTTGCTTTATTCTGCGCAGTGCAAAAAGGTGGCGGGGGGGGGGGTAGGGGAGAGAAATACCTACAGCAAAGTCGAGGCACCCAAATGAAGAAACCCCCCGCTGTCATCCACCTCCCTTTAACACCTGCTGCCTTACTGGAAAGTTCTCAAGGATCTGGCCCACACTTGTGAAGGCCTGCGTCGTGCTTCCTTGATCTGTTCGGGACCTTGCGAGGAACCTGCTGAGGGAGCCAGCAAGTCTGCTGTTGACTGGGATCATACGGGCCTGGAATGAGATAATATTTCACAGCCAGAGGCTTACTTTATATATATATATACTGTATAGGGGGTGGCTGGTCACGTAAAGAGCAGCAGGCAGGAGAGCCTGGAAGCGGGGCGGGGCGAGGGGCGAGCAAAGAGCGCGTTCCTGAGGCGACTCCCGCCACCCAAAGCCACCCCGCTCGCTCGGCCTGCACCCCCTTTTTCCCGCCTTCGTAACGGCCCTTCTCTCTCCCAACCGCAGTCTCGCCGACTTGGGCCAGGCTCGTGGTTGTTGTTTTCTCCTTCAGCCACTCTACTTTACCCACTCACACAAACCGAAGTTCGTTCTCTCGTCCCCGAAAGCACCGGCGCCTCCGCTGTCTCTGCAGCTTCCCTCACTCATCCGCCACCCCGCGCACCCTTTCCTTCTCCGTTGCGCAGCCGCGCAACTTTTTTGACGGGGGGGCTGACGGGCACTTGGCAAGTCCAAAGAGCAGGCAGGCAGGCATTGGAAAGGGGCGTGTTCCTAAAGGGGGCTGGCCGGCTGGACCCTTGTACAAAATATATACAAATATATATACAGTATACACACACACACACACACACACACAGCCCCCCCTTCAGGAACACGCCCCTTTCTATTGCATGCCATTCGCAGCCTGCCTGATTGCAACGGGGACTTGCTAAGTCCAAATGAAAAATTTCTCTCTCTTTCGGTCCCGCACTCGGGAAATCGGTCCAAGTGCCCCTTGGACTCGCTCCGTGTGGGAAGAAGAGGAGCCCGGCCTCCCCGCTCGTCTCTCTCTCTCTCTCTCGGCGAGGGGGAGGGACAAAAGCGCGCCGAATGAATGGCGCCCTTGTGTCCCTGAGTTGCAGTTAGCCCGCAGCACAAAACATCTCAGCATGCCGTGCAGGTTTTTCCAGATCGCATCTGGTTTCTTTCGACGCTTCCGTCTCCCTCCCCCCGCTTTTCTTCTATATCAGCGTGGCAGGGGTGATATAAATATAGCCGCTTCCTAGGAAAGAGTTATTTGACTTTAGGAGTTCCACAGAAAAGGAAGCGCGCTTCAGCTGTAACTTGAAAAGGATTAAACGACACACACGTGGGCAATCATACCTTGTGCTGCGTTGCTTTCCTGAAAACGATGCTTCCATACTTTCCCTCGTGTTACACCACTTCCTTCTCTGACCGCTGTTGTCCAATGCGAAGACCCCATATCTCCTGTTCTACTGAAGCCTCCAGTGGTTTGGGTGAAACACTGAACTAGATGACTTAGATTGAACCATCGAATTGTAGAGTTGGAAGGGATCCCGAGGGTCATCTAGTCTAACCCCCGGCAATGAAGGAATCTCGACAAGCATTTCCTCATCCCAATTTGAAATCATACTGGACTGCTTAACTTTAGCAAACGTGATAGCTGTTTTATTGCTGCTGCTGCTGCACCACCAGCCTTAGCCAAAAAATCAATTTCATTTGCATATTGAAACATGAAAAGTTACGGGAAAGGTGATACACACAAAAAATACACTTCATAGGCGTTTTACAAAGCATTTAATCTAGGGTCTCCTCAACTAGTTAGGAAACAACTCCTTTGTGCTTCTTTTCCCTTTGTAAAATGGAGCTCCAATTTCTTGTTACTGCATGCAATTTAACTCTTTCAGATATGTTTTGGGAAAATTTACATATAGTGTTAGATTTAAGTTTCATTTAGATACCATAGAAATCAATGGTACCAATTTTTCACACTGACGTCAGTGGGCTCTAAATTCTACTTAACCATCTGGATCTTTTCCAGCTGATAGTATTAGTGACAGCATCAGTAAATGAAATATTTTAATTTGGGAGTTGTTCTTTCATTGCAAACTACTTTAAACAATACTGCTTTAAACAACAACTCCTTAACAACTCCTTAACTACAGCAGGGGTCAGCAAACTTTTTCAGCAGGGGGTCGGTCCACTTTCCCTCAGACCTTGTGGGGGGCCGGATTATATTTTTTGGGGGGGAATGAACACATTCCTATGCCCCACAAATAGCCCAGAGATGCATTTTAAATAAAAGCACACATTCTACTCATGTAAAAACACGCTGATTCCTGGACTGTCCGGGGGCGGATTTAGAAGGCAATTGGGCCGGATCCGGTCCCCGGGCCTTATTTTGCCTACCCATGATCTACAGCTACCAGGATTAGTGGTAGGGGAGCCATTACTAGGGCCCAATAGAGTATGGTTACCAGACATCCCCGTGTCTGCCCCTGACAAAATCCATCCCCGGAATGTCCCCGGATTTCATTTAATGTCCCCGGATTTATACTTTAAGTGTTTTAGATTTATTAGTAGGGAATGAATGTTGCATGATTGATTCAACAGCACAAGACACATTATATGCGGACTTCTGGTGAGGCAACATGGCGGGCACCATGGCATCGAGCAGCTCCTGAAGCTACCAGGCTTGCTCTGGGCTGCTGAGACTGCTGCTGCCGCTGCCACTACTGAAGGGGAACCGGGGATGCCTGGCGCGTCAACTGGGAGAGCCACTGACACACACACACACACACCCTACGCAACCCAAATCGAGCCAGGAGCAAGAGCACCCGGTGAACTGCCTAGTGATGCTCCAGGGCCAGGAAAACCCTGGAGCCAATGCAAAAGGAAAGGGGAGAGGAGGAGGAGGAGGAGGAGGAGGAGGAGGAGAGAGAAAGAAGGAGAAAAAAGAAAGAAGCCCCGACCTTGCTGCGCCGCTGCCGCTGAAGAGAAGAGGTAGGAGAGCACCGGGAGGGCAAGGACATGTGGCCGAGCCTACCACAGAAGAGAAGATATTACTTCTTAATTTTTTAAAATAACTTTTTTTTCTCTTATAAAAAAAAAAGGCATCCCCGGATTCATTGAAAAAAATCCGGTAACCTTACAATAGAGAGGAATGTCTGGCAGAGGCACAGGAAGAATAGCCAGAGGGCTATTCCACCATGTGTTTCAATGTTCCAGATCCCTTGTTTGTTTGTTTGTTTTTGTTTAAAATAAATCAGGCATGAAAGAGATAAAGATGGGAATAACATCTTGTCTCGTTTGGTCCTAACTGTATAGCTAGATCACTAGATTGCACTCAGTATCTGCAGTGTTGACACAGTCTCATGAAAGGAATCAGAATTGCTTGATGGGAGTAATCAAATTGCTCTTACATATTCAAATTTCAGTTGACTTTTAGTTTCCAAAGTAAAGTCTACATTAACAGATAAAAGTCAATGTACTCAGCTGTTATCTGTGATTGCGATGTTTATACTTCTAGCACCCAAATCTGCTAAACTTATTTAATGTAAATCTGGTAAACATCCAACTTTTAATGCACAGACTGTCCACATTGGCTGAAATTCAATCCCATTATTTCAAACTTAAGCTAAAAGTCAACAGAAATGTATTAATTAACTATTATAATAATATTGTTAACCAGTAACTATATCATCTCTTTCAAAGAATACCATTTATTTGTACTCTTTTTGAGTGATATAATTCTGCTGTATGCAATTTTTTTGCTGGCTCTCTTTATCATGGGAATTATTTTGTACTGTGAAGCATGGGTGAATGGCTAAATTATATTAACTACTGTAAAATTCCAAGGCTTTGTTTCAGAGGGTTGGGAACAAATACCTGAGCAAAGTAAGTGCAGGCTAAGTAGCAGCCTTCCTCTAGGCAATATAGTTATGTTATGTAAAGAGTATATACAGTATTTTTGGTGTACGAGGAATCGAGGTGGGGGGGGCTTGTCCCTCTCTCCTAGACATTTTATTGACCATGGACTTGCAACTCCTGTCCAGAAGCTGGTTTATGAATGGGCACATCTCTAAACATGTATATTGGAACTGGATGCGAGCACGATCTGGCTGCAACATCTGTCACCCTACTGATCTCCAGGGCTGATTTGACTGATCTGGCTGGTTATAGGCAGATGTCCCCTTCCTCCTTCACCACTCTATGTGCATCCCACCTGAAGCTGCACACACAGTGCAAGAGGACAATAATCCCAAACAAGAGTGTACTATTCAGTACACTCTTGGAATTTTGCTTGTATTGTTCTAACCGACCTGATACCAAAGGTTCGGGTAGGGAGCCGTGTTGGTCTGACGCAGTCAAAATAAAAATTTATTTTTTTTAAAAAAAATTATCCAGTAGCACCTTATTGCCCAACTAAGTTTGTTCTGGTATAAGCTTTGGTGTGCATCCACACTTCTTGAAGTTGGTCTATAAGGTGCTACTAGGCATTTTAATTTTTTTTTAAAAATTATTTTGATACCAAAGGGTTTGACTTGGCAACAACACATTCAAATAATTTTAGAGCAACATAAAAGCACAGTTTGCTTTTATTTTTGTGAATGCATGTAAAAAAAAATATTGAATGGGATTCAGATCTTACTTCCAGTATGTAACTAAGATGACAGACCCAGCAAACTAAAGTCTGTGGATTCTTGCTTAGAGGAATTCAATATAAGATGGAACTTTATTTCAAACAAAAGAAGAGCAAAATGTTCTTTTTACATGACTCCTTCAGGGTCAAGGTTCAAAATTATGGCCTGTCATTTACAGGTAGGAACCAGTGATAGAGTACCTGTTTTGCATGCAGAAAGTGCCAAGTTAAGTCCTTGGCATTTCCAGTTACAAGGAGCACTAGCAGATGATGTGAAATACCGTACTTCTGACTCACCTTGAGGAGTGGCTGCCAGTCAGGATAGACAATGTTGAACTAGATGGACAAATACTCTGACCTCATATATGGCACCTTCTTATGCTACTATGATGTTATTAGATAAGCATACCCAGGGTACAAACTATGTGCACCTCCCATTATTTCTGCATGGTGCAGAGGCATTTTTTTAAATTGCCACTTTCCTTGGAAAAATACATGGTAGCAAGATTCCCCCAATTACATTCCACGCATTAAGAAAATCACACCCGTGCCAATGATCAACGGCCCGAGTCTTATGTGTGTGCATGTACAAAATGACAGTGAGAAGTGATCCCTGTAAGGGCTGCCAAGTAGACTGTTGGTAAAATAAAAATAAAATAAAAAAGGGGGGGGGAGGTTCTGGACGTATGGTGGCTCTTTTATACAGATATAGTGCATATACGGAATAAGCAGCATAGATAACTCTGAGACTTGCAGTTTTGTAATGCTTAAGCCTTAATACACTCTGTGAAGGTTGTCATGCTTGTCTGTTACAGCAAACACACACCTAAAAACTTGCGCAGTAGCTTGCTGAGCTTAAGCAGATGTCAGCTCTTGGTCTCCCCAATTTAAGACCAGGGGCGTACCCAGGGGTTGGTTAGGTTGGCCCCCGCTCAGGGTGCAGGCTCGCCCCCCCCCCCGCAAAAATCATGTTTCTTCACTTTGGCTTAGAGCAGCCAAACTATCCATGTACTCCCCAGGCACTCCTCTGATGCTTTGGTCAGCCAGGCACGAAGCACAGGCTCCTCTGGGCACCTTGGCGGAGGAATCTGGTGACGGGCGCAGCCCACTGCAGCAGCCCTGCAGAAGGCCCTCCCCAGTCACCACCAGTGCTGTTTTGCGTTTATGATCCATAGGAGCCAACTCCTAGGGGCCAAGGTAACGTCAGCACCCCCACTAAAACAATTGAGGGGCCAGGGCCTCCCAAAGTTGATGAGCATTGCCACTGAAATGTTGTGTGCGCTGTGTCATGTGCTCTGTTATGTGGGGCAGTGCTTATCTGCCCCTATTTTATGCAAGCTGGCACCCCTGTCCTGATCCATGGTCTCTCCTGGGTTTTGAGGTGCTGGTACAGCTCCTTGCCAAAGAAGGGGGGAGCACAGATACATCTCCTTACCAAGGGAACAAGAGATGAGGGGGGTCTCTGATAGAGAGGGTGCAAGGGAGCCAAGGTATGCTTCTGTCAAAGACCTGCTGGTTATCCGTTGCCATGCCCTTGCCCTAACAGTTTAATGATAGCCTTCAAAAGCATTCCTCTCGCGGAACATAATTCAACAGCATTTTATAAGTTTTAATACTCCCCTCATGAAACATAACAGAGCAGCATTTTTCAAAAGGAACTTTATTGCAGGCTGCTGACTGGGGCGACAACTTGAATATATTATTGGGGACGGACGGACAGGTAAGCCCTGCGCCGCATAATCGATCACAAGAGGCATGCACACCATTTGAATGGCAATGGCCGGTGCCAGATTTCCGTATAAGCTAACCAAGCTATAACTTAGGGCCCCACTCTCTTGGGCCCCCCCCAAAAAAATTTTACCTGGATGTACCTTTCCAAAATATAAGATAAAAAACAAATGAAATAAAACCTACATACAGCAACAGTGTTTTGTGTTGTGTAGGCTCCTATTATGTAAGTAAGCCTGCTAGCCTGTTCCCTAAAATATCACTGGTTTGCTCATTTCTATATATAGGGTGCCCACATTCTGCATGGACTGGTTGCAACAATTACTTTGATCAAACACATATTTTGTTACGTGCAAATGGCTTTAGATACCTATTAGGTCCATAAATTACCATATAGCATATAAAAACAGCGACAATTTGTTGTTGACAAAGGACAGCAGGACATATAAAGAGCCCCATTACCTTCAGTAGCTTAGGGCCTCATCAAACCTAAATCCGGCCCTGGCAATGGCCATCAACTGGGGGGGGTGGCCCCCTCAAATATTATTGGAGCGAAGGGACCCCTGGGCACCTTGGAGTTGCTGACCAATGACGGCAGATCAGACACTTAAAAAGAGAGAAAGAAAAACTGGCTCTTTGCTGCTCGCCTCTCAAAGACCGAGCAACTGCAACAAACAAGCTTGCACGTGGAAACAATCTCGGTCGCTTGGTGTTCATGAAGTCGGGGCCTCGAGCCCTGCAGGGAGAGAGGGCTGGTACCGAAGGCGCTGAAGTGCTGGCTACTGCCTGCCTTGAAGCAACTAGTTGCTGGCTGACCGGACGCCGGTGAGGGGCGGGGGCGTGGGGAGGCAAGTTATAAATGGCGGGAAGGCGGCCAGGAAGGGAAGCCAGCAAGCGAACAAGGAGGCGGAGGCGCAGACGCGAAAGAGCATGAACGCGGCTGCGTGGCTGTTGCTGAGCGCGGGGCTGAACTTAGGCATCTCTGAGGGAGAAGCTCGGCCGGTAAGCGGGGCTTTAAAGCCCCTTTCTTCTTTCTCCGCCATGCGCTGTTGCGCGTTGGAGCTGCCGCCCTCCCCGCGTGAGGCGTCTCGGGGAAACCTGCAGCGCAGCCCCTGTCGGGCTTCTGCCTGTAATAACTTAGCTCTTGTCCAGCCAGGGTTGCAACCTCTTGTTCGAAACTGTAGCAGGGGTGGGAGCGACATGTTCGCGCCGCGCAGCAGGGTCGTGTGCTACCGAGTCTCCTTTTCCCAGAGATCGTGCGAATCCCTCGGTACCTAAATGTTAGGGGTAACACTAATGCGGTAGTAAAGCTAAAAAGGTGACCCCTGGACGGGTCCAGTCCAGTCAAAGGTGACTGTGGGGTGCGGCGCTCACAGTGGTCGCTTTTTAGAAACTCTGGGATGCCAGTAGGACCATCATGCGAAGCATCGTGCGTCGAGGATGCTTTCAGACGAGAGTCAGAATACCGGTCCAACTAGCATTGCTTGCAGCGAGAAGGGCGCTTGGGGTTTCTTTCAGTCCAGAGTTTTTACCGGACCGACCTGGCGGGAACTAAACCTGGGACCTCATCTTCTGCACTCCCACATCTTGAATACAGACACGGGGATGTGTGTAAACAAACTCATATCGCTGTGCATTTTTGTGCCCTGCAGTTTTGTGCTGCTGCCTCATGCCGATACCGATTGTTTTTTGTGGTTTTTATTTAAAGGTTTTAATTGTACCTTTAACTTTAAATGTTTTATCTTTGTAATCCATCCACTATTTGATGATGGACAGACTGTAAATGCAAGGAATAAATTAAACCATTTCTCTTAAAAATAATAATTAGGTGTGAAATATACGGCTGAAATGTTTTAAGTAGATGGATAGTCAACTAAAAGTTTAATTGGTTAGGTCAGAGTATCGGATTTCTTTTTAAAATGGTAATACAAGCTCAGCAATCCCTGCATTTAAACTCTGTAGGAAGGACAATGTAGGACTTTCTGAAGTGGAGGTGAGTCTCTGTATGTCAAAAAAAGCATTGAGTCCAGCTAGCTAGAAATCCCAAAAGTGGCAGATTTCTCCCCAGAATCATTGTGGCTAGTGATACTGGGCCTCAAAAGTAGTTTAGTATTGGGAGATCTTGAAGTGAAGAATGAATGCTGAGCCTGTGTCAGTACTTATTTTCAAAATCATTGGATTTATTAATTCCTACTTTACCCCTGAAGTGCACTTTTCCATTGTCTCCCCGGACAGACGGATGCCAACACACTTTGGTTGTGATCATTGTTTGCTAAACACATTTTTTTTTAATCCCAGTAGTGAGGGCTTTGTAGGAGGGGTGATTGTTAGCTTCATAAAATCCACATTTCCATGTGAAATTCATGCATCTATACAACTGGAATTTTATTTTATTAGGACAAAGTAGCATTTTGGGGGGTTTTTTGCTTTACTTCTCAGTGACTGCTTCCAGACTTTGGAACTCCCTCCCTGTAGATGTTAGACTGGCTTCCTCCTTGTTATTTTTCTGGCTGCTGAAGATTTCTTGTTCTGACAGATTTATAGGAACTGTTTTTAATGGAATGGGTGGTGCTGTGCTGTTTTAATTATATTAGTGTTTTTTAATTGTTTCCTCCTATGTTTTTAACTGCTCTTATTTTTATCTGTAAACCGTGGCAGGGAATAATAATAATAATAATAAATCTTCTCATTTTCTTTTTATTACAGTCCATTGAGTGTTACGAAGAAAATGGTATGTATAAATAAAACATGTATTTTAAGATTTTAATTTATCAGTGCAGTCCTATTGTATGTTGGATATTGCTGCAAGATTTAACCTATAGATCAATTGGTTATGGCCAATTTTGATCAATTGATATCAAAATTGCAAGTTAAGAATGTACTTCAGGTTCTTTTTAAAGACTTTTTTATTTCCGCAACAAATATTGAAAAACAAAATATATCTTTTCAGCAGTGAGTGGTAACTTCTGTGTATTAGATTATGACTGAGTTTTTCCTTTAGTGTCTCAAAAATTATCTTTAGTTTTAATTGTGATTAAAGGGCAGGCCCCATTAGCTAAAGTGGTAGCTTTAAGAACAGTTAAGAACAGTTTCAAGTTAAGAACGGACTTCCAGAACGAATTAAATTCTTAACCTGAGGTACCACTGTATATAGCTTATCTGTTATGTAACCTAAGCCTGCCTTCAGGAACAACTCTGTAAACCTGAATTAATCTGATAGTAGTTTGTGTTAGTATGAGTCAGATTCATGTGTGTTATCTTTAAGAGGGACAGAAAGGGATTATCAACCAGGAAGGTATAATTATTGATAGGACTCAAACGAGTTAGCAACCCGCTTGCCGCTGCATAAACTCAAACGGGATCGTTTAAACTCTGCTAAATTACATATATGTTCCCACAATTGGAAGGCGCTACACATAGATGGTTGTGGAGTAGTAATGATGGAGTTCTTGCTACCCTCACTTTCGTATTATTCAGTCCAGATCATTATGTCATGGTTTAAAATTCCAGAATTTAACCAGAAAGCCTGCTCTGGAAGCTAGTGAGCCCACCAAATTCTCGTAAGCACCTACAGTGTCTTAGCCAGCACAGGAAAGCAGTGAAAACAGCTGAACAGTGCAATGATTTGGCACTTTATATATTCATATTGTTTCATTCACTGCTTTCCTTTAAAATTATTCCTGCCACTTATTCCTAGGTTTGTGCGTGGGGGTAAATCCATAAGAAAAAGTAGTAGCCAGCAGAATATGTGCTCTCCCGTGCCACTGGGACAAGTGGCTTTTTTTTTGCTTACACACCTGAATTTTACCCCCAATGGCCATTAGCTGGAAAATAATTTCATGATATTCCATGTTTTTATGTTATATCTTTTTCTTTTTTCTTTTTATAATATTTTTATTCATTTTCAAATACAAATTTATATAACCAATATCAGAATTTATCACATAATCTTCTTTTTTTTTACTTCCCCCAGTTTCTCTGCCAATCTTCCGTTTTGTTTACTTATTCACACTTTTTCTAATTTTAATATTGCCTTTAAAATATAACCTCCCCAATCTTATTCCCTTTTTTACAATATTCCTCATATTTTCACAGAACATCTTGAAAGCCTACAAGCGTTGTCTGTTCATCACATATACTTTTCAGATATGTTATGTCTTTTTCTGGGTCCTGGCCATTACTATGAATCCTGCATGCTAAGTGATACTAATTATTAAAGATTCTGGACGACTGTTGGGATATAGCAGTGTTTATTTTAAAATAGGTAATCCTTTAGGTTGCACTGATCTCTGATTCTTTGTCTTTCCAAGGGCCTTCTATTGAGCTGCTGAAGGAGCACGAATTTGTACCATCAGATATTTCTGGCCTCGATGCAAAGATCATTGAGAGGCGGGGAAAGTGCAACTTTAATATAACCTGGAGCCTTGGTGTAGACGGTAGGTCTCGTTAGTGCAACAGACTTATTATGAAACTCATTTATAAAATTGGATAGAGGCTGTCTTTTTTAGTCTTGTTGTTGTTTAGTCGTGTCCGACTTTTCATGACCCCATGGACCAGAGCACGCCAGGCACTCCTGTCTTCCACTGCCTCCCGCAGTTTGGTCAAACTCATGCTGGTAGCTTCGAGAACACTGTCCAACCATCTCATCCTCTGTCGTCCCCTTCTCCTTGTGCCCTCAATCTTTCCCAACACCAGGATCTTTTCCATGGAGTCTTCTCTTCTCATGAGGTAGCCAAAGTATTGGAGCCTCAGCTTCAGGATCTGTCCTTCCAGTGAGCACTCAGGGCTGATTTCCTTCAGAATGGATAGTGTAGCCCACACCAAATCTTGCACTCAAGTTTGAAGTGTAACATATGTTTACATGCATCATGAGTACCAGTCCATTCTGCTTTGATTTGACCCTTTCAGCTCTGACTTCTGCTAGCAATAGAACCAGGGGCTCCATTTCAGTTTGGTGGGGAGGAGGAATATTCAGAGTAAGGTTGTTTCCACTTACATAAATGCAATGCAACAAAAGAAAATATGTAGTGTGTTGGTGCTTTCTTTGCATTCCTAACCACACAGCAATTTCACCAACACCTATCACTTAGGAACAAAAGAAGCTGCCTATTATTGAGTCAGACCATTGGGTCCACCTAGCCCAGTACTGTTCACGCAGGCAGTGGCTCTCTTCGTTTTCAGGTGGGACTTTCCCTACCTGGAGATAATAGGGATTGAGCCTAGGACCTTGTGATGCAAGACAGGTGCTGTACCACTGAGCCACAGCCTTTCCCCTAAAATGGGGAGTACGGTCAAACCTCGGTTGTTGAACGTAATCCATTCTGGAAGCCTGTTTGGCTTCCGAAATGTTCGACAATCGAGGCACGGCTTCCAATTGCTTGCAGGAGCTTTCTGCACTCAAGCAGAAGCTGCATCGGACGTTCAGCTTCTGAAAAAAGTTCAAAAACTGGAGCATTTAGTTCTGGGTTTTTGGTGTTTGGGAGCCAAAACGTTCCAAAATGGAGGCATTCAGGTTCCGAGGTTTGACTGTACATGTATGCCTGGTGTGTATATCTCAGTTCACTTAATTATTTAACTGTAAACCTGTGTGGGAAAACCCAGTAAAACTGATCAGATATGTGAGAAATAATCACACATACAGTACAAAAAAGAGAAGAACTGACCACAACAAGGTCGCTTTCCCCTAGCCTTGTTTTGCATAATACTGATTTGATTATTTATCTTAGATTAATGCTTTGGTGTGGGTGGGTGTTGAAATCTTAAACTCACACCCCAGGTCTTTATTTCACTGCTCTCTTCCTCCTCGGTTCCCTGGCATCTAGCTGATAAGCATATACAAAAATACTTTTATGTCCTTTGTGAACACACAACTGGCATACACATGTTTACCACCACTTAAAGCATACAGATACACGTGGTAGAAACTGGAACAAAACATAATGGTGGGCAGATATGTCACTCTGTGAAGCAGCTTTGTGTGGATTTGGAGAGGCACTAACTGCATATTTACTTGGAGCAGGGGTTGGGATCTTGGCTGAACCATAACTCCCATCATCCTTGACTATTGCCCATGCTGGGCTGAAACTGATGATAGTTGGGCGGCAAACAATACCTAAAGAGCCAGTGCCCCACCCCTGATTTAGGACATTAATATATACTTGTTTGTTTGCTGTAACCAGAATTTGCATAATGGTTCCTGAGATTAAGAAGGAGGTTTTTGTCTGTTTGGAGACAACTGGGTGCCACTTTGAATCAAGACAGCAGACTGAATCTTTCAAAACTGCAGTGATTTTATTTTATTTTATTTTATTTTTTATTTTTTATAAATTTTATTTTCAATGCAAAATTACAAACATTGATTCCAAAATAAAACTATACAAACAAGAAAGAAAAACAGAACACAAAAGAAAGAAAGAAAAACCAAAAAAGCACAAATAAAACCTTATCTTCATTCTAATCTAGTCATTACATACATTTACACATATTGACTTCCTTCCTTTGTTCTAAGACCTCAAAAATTTTACTCTTTCTAAATTGTTGTGTCTAATGTAGATTACTTCTATCTTTATACTTTTTACACCAAATTTCTTTTTCTTTAACCATGCAAAGCATCATTCATTACATACTGATATGCTTACTCCAGAACAATGTTTTTTCATATACTCTTTAGCACATCCCCATTCTTTTAATAATTTCTGGTCCGATTGTCCCCTTATGAATGCTTGCCAGATTTATACATTCACAAAATTTAATTTGCCATTCTTTCATTGATGGAATTTTTCTCCCTTTCCAATTTTTTGCTATAAGCATCCTGGCAGCTGTCGTTGCATAAAGGAATACTTTCCTTTGATTGTCAGGAATATCATTTGTGATTATACCTCAAAGGAATGCCTCCGGTTTTTTAGTGAAAGATATTTTAAACATCTTTTTGATTTCTTCATATATTTCATTCCAAAATTGTTTAATAGGTCGGCATTCCCACTGCAGTGATTTTAATTGCTGATTTCAAAACCTCAGATTTTTTTGGGGGGGGGTGTCTTAGAATTTCAGAGCAATGCCTAGTAAACAGCTAGTATTTCTATAACACTTCGAACACAAATAAGATAACGCGAGTTTTTTGTTTGTTCTCTTTCCAGGCAGCATTATATTCCTGAATGCCTCCAAGATATGTTTGCAGAAGGAAGGAAGTCGAAGCTGTATTAGATGTGATTACACAGAAAGGTTTCAAAACCAAACCATGCTCAGTGGTGAAAAAGTAAGAAAATGATTTTGTATTGTGCTGCTGTGGGGCAATGGGGAAGAATGTGAATTCAATTTAATTTATCTAAGGATTTACAGCCAGAAAGCTAGATAAGAGCCCGCAAACCGATATGGTTATGGAACAGGCAGAGAGTCAAACACTGCAAACTTTTACAAGATTGCAGGAATGAAAGAAGCTTGAAGGCTATTGCAGCACAACTACCTGCACTGAAACACAGAATCTTAACACATTTTAGCAAATCTGTCCATATGGTTCAGATAGCTATCCTCTAAGAGCACACACAGGCATGATGGTTGACATACAGTGTTAGCCATACTCCTGGTAGTTTCATTTAAATCAGTGGACTTAAGCCTTCTGTGAGTATGGCTTAGTTCATTGGTAGGCAAACATAGGCCCAGGGGCCAGATGGGGCCCAGTCACCTTCTAAATCCGGCCTGTGGACGGTTCAGGAATCAGCGTGTTTTTACATGAGTAGAATGTGTCCTTTTATTTAAAATGCATCTCTGGGTTGTTTGTGGGGCATAGGAATGCGTTCATTCCCCCCCCCCAAAAAAAAAAGTCTGGCCCCCCACAAGGTCTGAGGCACAGTGGACTGGCCCCATACTGAAAAGGTTTGCTGACTCCTGACTTAGTTGGTTATCATCCATTTATCTGTTTGGTACTTAAAAATTCAGCCAGACCCACACCCCAACAAAACATATGGCTGATGCTTCTGTGGCTTATATTTTAAAATTTTACTTTTGGTTTTTTAGTGTTGACGATCCACTGACTTACTGGTCTGATGGAACAACAACAACATACATGTCAAGGTTACTTTGTAGTGGCTAGCTTGGGATCTGACATTTTTTTATTTTTATTTATTTATATCCAAATATATTCCTGGGAACCCTTTGGAAGCTTCTGGTTGATATAGCTGGTGCTCCTGTTTGTTATATCCTGATCAGTCTGCAGAAATGAGTTAGGCCAATTGTAAGCCAGACAAGAAACTGGTATTATTTAAGGCCGCAAAATCTCATTCTGAAAAGTGTATGTATATGTGTATGAATTGTAGCCGCTCGTCTTTCCCCCCCCTTTTTTTTTTACAATATCAAGATGGCCAAAGCATCTTTTTCTGATTTAAGCAACCAGTCTTCTGCCCCTGTAATTTTGGTATTTTCCCATCCAGGTGAGATGAAATTTGCAGTTGTTTAACTTTGGCATTCAGGCAGATAAGGAAAATGGTCCTCATTTTATAAAACAAAAGTGTGCATCCTTATACGCTTAAGTACTCTGCTGTTTGTGACTGCTGATTGTTGCATCCTGATTAAATGGCTTACAGTCTTATCTGATCCATCCCTTCATTTTGGCACAAGACATTTCAAACATGCTGGAACCATTCCAATAATTGCTAATGTACTTATGAATGAATAAGTAACGGGGGGTATGCCCCCAAACTAAGCTTTGGGCTCCCCAAAATACTGTGACACAATCAAGTGACCATCTCCTATTGAGATGCTCAAACATATTGTCCATTCTGATGCTTTATTTTAGCTCCAGTTGCACTAAGCCTTCCTATAAATACACTACCAGAAGAGTGTCTGGTTCGTTACTTCATTTGGGTACATTGTCACTTGTGGAAAATGGAGAAAGAAAGCTGTATTCATTTTTGTTTTGCTTATGTTCTAGCACAGGTGTAGGCAACCTAAGGCCCATGGGCCACAAGTGGCCCACGGGGGTCATTTAACCGACCCACGAGCCGCCCCCAAATCAAGCTGCCCACTTGGAGAGTCCCTGCACGCTGCGCTAAAGCGGCACAGCATGGTGTGGGAACTCGCTTCTGTAGTGCCAGAAATCGCGTCTGCGCATGCTCAGATGCTGAAAATTGTGTCTGCACAGACGCAGATCCTGGAAATTGCAGCTGCACGCACGGTCCGGCCCAGTGAACCGGCCCAGGCGAGGTAAACCTTGCCGACCCCTGCTCTAGCATCTTCATTTTTTGTTCCAAAAATATGCTCAAATATGAATATATTATGATCTTCAAATTTGTCTTATTTCAGTGGCAGTTCTACTATATTGGATTTCCAGTAGATGAAAATAATGAATACCACATTGAAGTTTTCAACCTACCACCACCAAATCCAGGTCTTGATCCTCCTAAAAAACACATAAAACGATTTTCTCCAGGTAATTGAACAAATGTGGTCTTAAATATTTTCACATGAAAATACCTGCTGTAAGTTTAGTTTGATGGGCTTTTCAGTCTATCTTCAAATTAAACGAACAGCTATTAAAAGGAGAACCATAAACTGTTTTCAGTTTATCCAAATCATAATATTTTCATTCATGAATATGATATATATGTGTGTGTGTATTGCACACACACACCCTTTGAAAAAGTAATGGATCCAGCTAAGTTTTCTCTGGCTCCAATGCAATGTGTAAATGCAACCAACATGGTTGCATAATAAATACATGAATTATCCAATTTATGAGATCAGCCAAGGCATGCTGCTAATTACCCATGTGATGGCAAACCCAGCTGTGTAATGTGTAAAACGATCCTTTCTCTGACATTTTAAAATATTTTGTTAACTAAAGTGAGCCTAACCATTGAAAATATATTTATTTCAAGATTGGGAGACTGAAACATTTTAAAAGAAAAGGAAAATAGGAAATTGCCTTATACCAAGCAGACAACTGGGCCATCTAGTGCCGTGCTCTCTACGTTAACTGGCAGCAGCTCAGCAGTATCAAACAAGAGCCTTACCCAGCCCTGCTTAGAGATGCCAGGAGCTTGAATTGTTGCTTCTGCAAAGTAGGTGTTCTGCTACTTAGCTACAGTGCTTCCCCCTTATCACTACTACAATTACACACAACCTTAAACAGAGTGATATGAGAATTCTTTTACTGACCAAGCTCATCGAGCTACAAAGCAATTGTAAGATACTTCTGCAGTATTTGTTAAAGCTACTGCAGTTGCTATGATAGATAAAGGTAAAGGGACCCCTGACCATTAGGTCCAGTCGTGGACGACTCTGGGGTTGCATGCTCATCTTGCTCTATAGGCCGAGGGAGCTGGTGTTTGTCCGCAGACAGCTTCCGGGTCATGTGGCCAGCATGACTAAGCCGCTTCTGGCGAACCAGAGCAGCGCACGGAAACACCGTTTACCTTCCCGTCGGAGTGGTACCTATTTATCTGCTTGCACTTTGATGTGCTTTCGAACTGCTAGGTGGGCAGGAGCTGGGACTGAACAATGGGAGCTCACCCCGTGCGGGGATTCGAACCGCCAACCTGATCGGCAAGCCCTAGGTTCTGTGGTTTAGACCACAGCGCCACCTGCGTCCCAGTTGCCATGATAGGATTCCTTAATATCTGTTTTCCAGGTGAACAGTTTAGTATCTGGCATTTAGGTTCCATTCTGAAAAGATTTTGTGCAAATGAGATTCTTCACTTAATATGCTGTATCTTGATATAAAAAGTTTGCCCAGTTTCTAATTGTAAAAACTCTTTATTTACATTCAGGTTGTAAAGACAGTGTGTTAAAATACTGTAAAACTTGCATAGAGAAAGGTAAGTGCAAACTATTCATTAGTGATGTTGAAAAGTATTTTCATTCCAAATAAAAATTTGCAAATAAAAGGGTTTCAAATACAGTGGTACCTCTGGTTACGTACTTAATTCGTTCTGGAGGCCTGTTCTTTACCTGAAACTGTTCTTAACCTGAAGCACCACTTAGCTAATGGGGCTTCCAGCTGCCACCGCGCCACCGGAGCACGATTTCTGTTCTCATCCTGAAGCAAATTTCTTAACCCAAGGTACTATTTCTGGGTTAGCAGAGTCTGTAACCTGAAGCATATGTAACCTGAGGTACCACTGTAATGGGTTGTATCCAACTAAGACGTCTTGCTCAAGCAAGGAGGGAGAGAGCAATTTAACCTAGTAGTTATCAGAGCATCAATTACAGTAGTTAGGCTATCCCTGGGATACAATATGTGGAAAGCAGAATTCAGTAGTGGTTGGGAGGAGTGGCTCAGGGCTATTTGATCATTATTCAAAACAGGTGCTTCCCACCTTTCCACCCCAATACCTCTGCAAGGTGGTTGGCAATCTGAAGTAAAGTGCTTGAAACACCAGTGCTACAGTATATCAGTTCTTTAACTGAACATGTAGGATTTTTGTATGTTTAGTGCTGATTAGCTATGGTGCCTTAGCAGCAATTGTGCGCCTGCTTTTTACGGCTGAGTGGCCATTATGTCATCTTTCAGATGCTGTGCTACAGCTTTCCTCATCCCTGATCATTGGCCACGATGGCTGGGCCTCATGGGAGTTGGGTGTCCAACAACATAGGAAAGAAGGCCACCACCATGTAGGATAACCCTACTTTAAGGACTACTGAAATTTCAATAGAAATTATTTTGGCATAAGATTTAACAGACACTTCTCTATTTCACAGGAAGCTTATGGGCCCCAAATATAACAGTATGCCACAAGAAGTCAGAAGTGGTAGTGAACTTTACAGCAAGTCCCTTTTGTTCCAAATATGTAATCCGCCTTCATGAGCCTGATCCATCAGGTGACCTGTATGATCATATCGTGGTTACCAAGGTAGGTGAAGAGAGTAACAAGCATTAGTGCAAATTTACTGCTTTTAAGAAACATAGTCAAGAATTTTACAAAGCAAAAAGAAGAAGAATCCAAAGGGCTCTGTATTTGGTTTTTTGAAGCTGTACGTAATAATTAGGCATATAATTTTTATTTTGTTTTCTCTTTGGATTAGGGGAATGATACTAGAATTTCTGAAAAAATATTGTTGACTGATCAAAGCAACAGAACCTTTAAAGAGGTAAAATCTAACTTCAGCTTAAAAGGAAAAAACAAATCTATTGTGAGTTCTAGACACTGTTTCTAATTATCGTTCTGCATGTGCTTTCTCATACTACTGCTTAAATCTAATAAAATATGTTTTCAGACCTTTTTCCATATTAAAGGGCTAACTGTACGTTATACGCAAATACATGTTTGTTTAAAAGAGACCCAACCCCATTTTTTTAAATTTTGAAACAATAATAATATGCTTTTGGAGAGGGGATTTAGGATTCAAACTACCTGTGGCATTTGTCATGCAATCCCCTGCTAGTGGTGACAAAGAATCCTTCCCCCCACCAACAGCACAGTTCAGATGTTAGGATTACTGTGACCAGTATCATCTTTTACACTTGAAGTAAGTCACACTGAATATAATGTGACTGACTTCTGAGTAAACATGTATAGGATTATACTGTGCTAAGCCTTTTTGTGTCAAGTTTGAAAAAGGAAACAAATATTTTTAGGAAATACTGGGTTGTATCCAAAGGTCCCCTTCCTCAGCTGGAGGAAGATTACTTTAGTCAGAGCCTTTGGATACAGTCCTTATTTTCAGATTTGAATTTTGTTTTATGTACTACAATAAGAAATTGGAGGGGCCAATCAGGGATACAAGGTTGTTAAGAAAAATAAAAAGAATATTTTTGTGAGCACATATTTTTTTTATTTTTTTTTAATAATATTTTTTATTGCTTTATTTTCCAAGGTCAGAAATACATCGTCAATAACACAACAAAAGCGATTTTACAAAAATAGTGAGCACATATTTTAGCTGCCTTGTGGGTTTATTTTAAATCTTCCAGCTAATTCCTCGTTTTCCACTATGCGAAGGCCATTGCCCAAGACATGCAGAGCATCAGGAGCTGTGTACTGAAGAACCTGCAGATGGTTAGCTGAAACCTGCTGAATTTCCCTTCAGTGTAGGCAACAGTAAGCTGGTGTAGTGGTTGGCCTTTATCAGAAGGACGAAAGAGGCAGAGGGGGAATATGAAGGAAAAGTTGGAATAGATGAAGCAGTGGAAGGAAGAGGGACTTGTTTTTTTAACCTTGGCCAAATCTCTTCTTTCTCCAGTGATCCTGCCCTCAAATGTATCTCTCTTAGGGGAAATTATCTGTTCCTGCCTCTGTTAAGCCTTAGAACATTGCTTCCACAGTTTACTTTCTAGGTTTTCTTAGTGATGTCCAACTGAGTTACTTTTTTAAAGAGCTTTTGTGGATGTAGAAAAGCCAATTTTAATTTAGGGATAAGAACTTGTTGAATAAATATTTGGACATGGAATACAAGAAGGGGAGGCGAGGGGAAGTTGTGGAAAAAAGTTATTGAAAATTTGGATTGTAAAGGTTGAATCTTTTTTCTTCTCTATTTTTCCCCCTCTTTTTTCTTCTTCTTCTTTTTTTTTTTTTGCTTTTTGTACTATTTGAAACTCTAATAAATATTATTTTAAAAAAAGAAAAGAAAAGCCAATTTTAGCTTTTTTTATATACTAGGCCTTTGCTTTACAAGGTTATTCACTACAGGTTTCTTATGCAACTGACAATTCTTTTTCTCTTCCAGTCTCAACAGATTTTGTAGGCAATTACATAATTATTTGTTGCCTACTTGCTTCCTTATTTCTGATAGTATGCATGGTTGCTGCTCTACTGCATTACAAGAGGAAGTATGGTAAGTTTTTGTCTTTCCTCAGAGAAAGCCATAAGGCTTTTTTGTTGTTGTTTTAATAAAGAAACACTTCGTTTCCTTAGACTCAGTCACTCTCACACATGCTGATTTTCCTACACTAAAATAATATGCACTTGTGCACTTTGTGTGAAGGATGGTGTATGAGTTTTTGTTTTGCTGTGACTAAACGGGTTGCAAAGCTGATGTACTTCTGTAAGCAGTTTGAGGGAGAGACAAAGCTCTTGAGTGTAAATGAGATGACAAATAGAGCCTTTTCTTCCTTGGCATCTTCCCTCAAGGGGAGGGTAGAAGGGAAAGCTGACTGAGGTTTTATGTGTTGACCTCCCCTTCGTTGTCATTCCCTTGTATCCAGTACAGAGGGAAATAGGAGATTAGAACATTTGGGAGAAGTAGTACTGTAGATTCCGGTGTGTTAGGCGACCGGGCATATTAGACGACCCCCAACTTTTCCTGTTAAAATATAGAGTTTGGGATATACTCACTGTATAAGACTACCCCCACCGGCAGCCAACTAGCAGCAGCCTGAGGCGAGGCGGGACCCGATCGGCCATCCAGCAAAGCGAGGGGCTGTGCTTACCGGCTGGTAGTTCTGGCAGTTACGGGGATGCCCAGCTACTTGGAGCCCCAGCCGAAGCCACGCTCCACCTTGCTGCGGGAAGGGGAGGGTGCAGTTGCTGCTGCTTCGGGATAGCTGCCTTCTATCCGGCGGTCCCCATGGTGGCAGGGCGAGCGAGAGGGCAAGGGCTTGGACGGGCTGCGTGGGAAGAGTCGCCGCCGGTTCTTCTCTCGAACCCACAGCTGCTGCCTGGCTGCCCACCGCGCGTGTTAACTCTCTCCAGCCCACAGCTGCTGCCTGGCTGCCTCCCGCACAGCCGTCGCCACCTGCCACAACCATACCCGGCGTATAAGGCTTTTGAGATTTTCTGGGGTTCGAAAGTCGCCTTATATGCCGGAATCTACATTAACTCGACTTTCAGGCAGCATGGCTCTCCAACTTCTAATTAAATTGTTTCACCAATAAAACTAGTTTACAACCAACGGCATAGAAAGGTGGAATATTAATTCCATGATATTCACCACAGTATTGCATTCATTTTTTAATATCTACTTTGGATCATGTTAGCTTTAAAGTCATTGAACAAGTTTTTGAACCAGGCATACACAACTTGTAACCCACTAAGTTAGATTTAAGTGATCATATGTGTATTGTAGCCTGGCAGGTATTTCACATCTAGTTTTTTTCCAGTCCAGTGCTATTCAGGTAACAAAGCCATGTTTATTGAAGTAGCAAAGTAAGCTTCATTGTGACTTACTCTTTAATATGAGAGTACAGTCAGGATTTAACCGTAGGGCAATGGAACTCAATTCTGAGTTGATATGCATAGACAGTGGCAGAGCTTCATGCTCCGGCACCGAGGGGCAGAGAGCAGGCAGGGGCGGGGCTCGCATGCGTCCCATGGATGTGGCACACTGCCCGTAGGGGCGTGGCGTGTGCAGAAGGGGGGCAGCCGCGATGGCACCCTACCAGGATCGCGCTGCTGGGGGCGGTGCACTCCCCCCCTTCCTCTGCCAGTGTGCATAGGACTGACATACATGTCTGGCACTTGTTGGCAAATACTGTAGCAAATATTTGGGAGGCTCAGGGATGAAACATTTCTGATTAGGATTGGGAAAATAATGAATTCCCAAATTTATGGAATATATATAGTTTGAGGGATGGCAGACAGTAACGTGTTATCAACTACTGGCTTCCATTTTCTCTACAAAAAGCAGGAGCAGGTCGGATATTAACAAACAAACCTTTTCCCTCCTGGTATTAATAGTTATGTATTTGGTGTAGTTTCTATATGTTTAGTATTTTGTATATATTAGACAAGTGTATTTTAAAACAAATCTTTCTGCTTTGTAAATTCAAGTAAACAAATGCTATTTTTAAAGGCACTTAACAATGAACTTTGCTTGCTCCAAAAGGTTGTATTTAACAGTTTGTGGGTTTTACTTTTGTTAACAGGTGCAGGTAGAAACTGGGCTCTTTCTCCACTAATGCAACATATACCTGCTACAATCCTTGTTGTATATTCCCAAGAAGTATGTTTTCAGCATACTGTCCTTGCTTTTGCTGAATTTCTACATGAGTGCTGTCATAGTAATGTCATTATAGATGCATGGCAAAAACTGAGAATTGCTGAAATGGGACCAGTACAGTGGCTTGCAACTCAGAAAGAAATTGCTGATAAAATTATTTTTCTCAGTCCAAACAATGCAAATCCTGCATGTGATTCGACTTGCAGAAACTGTAGACAGCCACAGTGGGAACTCTGAATGTATGTTCAAGTTTGCATTTAACCTTTTTTGCAGTGACTGGAAAAACCAGTCTTCTCTCCATAAATACATGGTGGTTTCTTTAAGTGAAAAGAATCCAACGAACAGTCTCCCAAGTCCTTTGAATATTTGTCCAAAGTATGTCCTAATGAAGGATATTGATTCCTTTTGTAGAGACCTTTCAGAGCACAAAGTATAGTGAAGTACAAAGTTAAAGTGTCAGATCTGTCTTTGATGTGTCCAAATGTTCCACAGAATAAAATTCTGAAACTTTTCATTTCCTCACCTTGCTCCCAGAAGTGCATTTAGTCATCATCCCCCCCCCCCCCGGCTGAGTCTAAGCCTTAGGGGCCTAATGCCTTTTGTCCATATTCTCCCATATTCTCACCTTGCTCAGCTTGCTCCTGCATCTGGGAGACAGGGAGTGTGACATAAGTTGCAAGGAATTTCCCTCAAACTTTATTAACTGTTAACCAAAGAAGAGACCATTTGAGATTCCACATAATCACAACCTGACACACACACGACTCATGGTTTCAGTCCATTCTGCAATGTTTATACAATACGGCAGTCAGTGACCTACTACTGGACCTTCGGCCTTGAGATGAGAGGACAAGAAAAGAGATTCACTATGACTGTTAGTAGATTGTTGCATTCCTGGGTGATTTTATCAATTGGGAAATTGAAATCCTGTTCGTGTCTGTCTCTTGTTCTGGACATTACTCACCCTGGTACTGTTGGGAATTCCATTCCACCCTTACTGCAGATATGTGGGATTATGACATGTTCACATGTCTGTTTACATTCCAGCACAGATTGCTGGAGTCCCATGAGCGGAACATCTGCTCTGTATTGCTTTTGTTTTTCTCTCTCCAAGAAGAATGATAAGAAGAAAGGCCATGTTTTTCTTTGTCCTGATTTATGTATAATAAATGCATAGTATAGTACAGTATCCACGCCTCGAGCCTGATCTGTTGTGTGTTTATACTGCTGAGGAAATGTGTGCTCCTGCTAAATAGCTTGAGTCGCAGATGCAAGTTGGAGGATGACTGATGGGTCTCCACAGCAGCAAGGCTGAGAAGGGAGACGCTCCGGCTGGAGCCTGTCCAGCTGGGTTTTCACCTCACGGTTTCGACAGGTACCTCTCATCTGGGGACTCAACAGTGCCTGCTCAATAACCTTTAGAAGCCTCTGGCTGTATGAACACGTGCTATTTTTTATCAGCTTTGCTATCATCTTTCCTCACTCATCCCATTTTAAAGTGGAGGAAGAGAAGTCAACAGAGGCAAGAAAGAAGTGAGTAGGGGGAGAATTAAGTTCTGAGAGAAAATGCTGAAGAGGAATAGCTGAAAAATTGGTCTGATCCTGGAGGAGGCAAGAAAGGAACTGAAAAGTGAGCTAAACAAATCATATGACTGACTGTTCTGGGCAGTAGATGGAGACAACCCCTAGCTGTATACCTCCCTCATACTAAATGAGAATTATTAATTTAGTCACAATATGAGCTAGACCAGGGTCATGTGCTTCATTGAGACCACTCCAAAGCATAAAACTAGAGAAAAGCTTTAAGAAAATATTGAGAACAACTAGAGTTTTCTTAAACAGCCCAGAAGAAAAATGATTCTTTTTATATGGATTTTATTAAAAACACAAATGTCAGGGCTATAAAGAGGAAAAAGTAATACTCAGCATTTTATCCTATCTAAATATTGCACAAGATCACCAGACAAAAGCAGCTCTTTCGCGTAACATACGGACACCAAATCGCTGCCATTCTCGTTGATATATCCAGAGCTCCTGTGTTGTATCCAGGCAGGCTAGAACAGCACCCCCTTTCCATGCTATCAAACGAGGATCCATGTCCTACGATTAATGCAAAGGAAAAGAATGAGCAAGGTAAATGGTGTAAACTAAACCCCACAAACCCACTTACATTTGCTTTAAGAATGTTACTGTTTTTAATGGGAGACGTTTTTACTGTGAGACGTTGTGCTCAGTGCTTAAAATCTTTACAATCCCAAATCAGCACAAAAGATACCATTTACTTTTGTAGCAAAAGAAGAATCACTTTGTTGCTGCTGTTCTTAATGAATTTTAGGCAGAAGGGGATGGCCTTTAGTTTATTAGTCAAGCCCCTTGCACAAAAGAACCAATGCATGTTCTTCGCTATATACTACACTATTGGAATATACAAATAACATTCTGTACTGGCCAATACATTTAACTGCAATTTATAATTAACTAGAAGAGGATATGAGCTGCTGTAGCAAGTGTATTAACATAGACAGAGGAGGTGGCTATACCCACCTTTGATTCTAGCTCCACCCACCACTTCAGTCATGTGGCCCCTGACAGAAAAGAAAATATTTCCCAACCCTGACCTAAAAGCATGCCTAGATTCATACACAAGTACCTTTGGTCTTGTAATAACTTCTACGTTTTCAACAACTCTCCTGAAAGAAGGAGGCATTTTGTTGAGAATTCTGTGCTGAAGGAACTCTTGGGCTTTGTGGAACATCAGACCGCCTCCTACAACCAGGATGGAACTGTACATTTTCTTTTTGGTATCGTCAGATGCTGAGAAATCAAAATAAGTTTTATGTAAACGGTGAAGAATGAATTGAAACAATACAGAATTAGCCGTTAACATTAAAACAGATCGAACCAGGTAACTAAAGAAGAAATGGATGAGAGCGAGAGTAGATATTTAGTTCCTGCAAACTTATGAATCCTCCTTGTACTAGAATCTATCTTGGCCAAAGTATTAATGTTAATAAACAAGTACATATAGTTTTCTTACCACAGCAATCAATACTGTGCAAGATTGCTTTGTCAAGGCCCAACGCTTTCCCTTCAAACTGAGATACAGCAGTTTTCCTGGACATGTGAGCTGTAAGGGGTTCTTCAGACTCATTTCCACCCATAATGCAGTCACCGTGCGAAGTGCCAATCTCGACTTCTGGAGGATAGAGATTTTCAGCAACGCTTGCAGATTGGCCACGCAGATCCCCCTCAAATCCACTAGGCTTGGAAATCGACTTCCTGTCGGCTGTTGCTTTCGAAGACTTTAAAAAGCAATACAGGGCAGGTTATCATTTGAAAAGATCCAATTTTGTTAGATGCAAAACACATTCCACAGCATCTGCCAAAATAGGTGTGAGGAGTGTTGCAGCTAAAAACAATCCCACATATCACACCTGACACTAAGGGACTGAGTGGCGAGTAAAGCCACACTGCTACTTCTGGCCTTTCGCCATATTATTTTCATATTCTTTGGCACAAACACCATATGTTCCCTTACCCAAGTCTTCCATTTCCAATGGCTCAGCACTTCCATTCCATACACAGTATACCATCAAAGCGACCTTTGCAGAAGCTATTGCATGTGCCACCCAAACTATAGCAACCAAGTAAGGATCAGAGTGGTAGCTGAAGAAATACTACTGAAGTTTTGCTTTTATTATTTTGTAAAAAGCTTTTACATAACTAAGGTAATGACAATAAAATCAAGCATACTGGGTCATTCCATATCATGATCCATTTTTTTTAACCTCATGTCATCCAATTTTCTTAATATTTTGTACACTTGTTGAATGATCAAAACTAAGTTTAAATCTAAAAGTTATTTTTTTTATCACATCCTGTTTTTGAGTCATGAGAGTTTGAAATTTTAAAAAATTGATAATTTTGGCCATGTCTGACTACACAAAAACCGTAAAATCTCAGTCCAGAATTGAGATATTTCAAAACTAAAAAAGACCAATCTCTTCAGAACATTGTGGGCTTTAATATGATATGTCACATGATGGACTTACTTTACATTTCAAAGTTAGGTTACAAAATTTTAAATTTTAAAAAGTTAAATTTTAAAAATTAATTTGATTTAAAATTGTATTATTAAATATTTCTAAGATCTACCCACAAAATTTCATCTTGGGATCTCAGTGGGATCACATTTTTAACTAAATTATTTTGTAGATACATGTCTGCCTTATTGGGTTGTACTTAGGATAAATGGGTATTCCTGGAGTAAAACATAACAGAATAAACTTCAAACTAGAATATCAGTTACTTCAGGCATTGTTTTATAAAGTTATTCAATTAAAATGTATCTGAAAAGTTAGTCAGGCTTTTCTTTTAAAAATGTGCTCCCAAGCAGAGTGATAGCTTGCTGTTACACGATGGAATGCTTTGACAGGATTCTTATTAGTACTTCTTGTTAGTATGTACACACACACTATGCCTGCCTTTAGACATAACCCTAGAGAACAGATTAGCTTTATAAAAGTCTGTCAGCCTTGAGCTCATTTGCTCTCATCCAGAACGACTATGAAAACATCAGAAACTGCTACTTCTGTTTTAGATGAACTGCTGTTTTGCATGCTGTCCAAGCCCAAACTGTGTTAAATTTTAACTATGCTTAGCTGGAACAAGCCAGCTTTATAAACTGTGGTTTGAAGTTGGCTTCCTTCAATTAACTATAGCTGAGATGAACCACCGCTCATCCAGGTTCAAATGACAAAGCAAGCTGCTGTTGTTCTAAAATGAAAGCAAAAGCTTCTGAACTCCTCCTTGCAGCCTTATGAGGCCTATATTATATTATTATTATTATTATTATTATTATTATTATTATTATTTATTATTATTATTAATTTTATCTATACCACCCTTCAACCAACGATCACATAGCAGTTTACAACGTTAGCATGAACCTTCTCTCTATTCTCCAAGAGGAAAGCTTTAATTAAGTATAATTAGATCTGTGCAGAAAAGTCTCCTCGGAAGAGAAAACAAGGGAAAAGACACACAACACACCTGCTCCTGCTTACTTTGTGTAGCTAAGAGATAATGTTCATCATGCGGGTCCTCAGGATCACCTTGTGATCGTTGCTGCAAAGATGTCATCTTCTGCCCCACAATTCCAAAGGTTGCTGGATAAAATAATGCCATGGGAGCCTAATCATGAGAGATTGGGAAGAGCTTAAAATTATCTGTACCATTTCATCAATGCTTGCTTGCACTTCCTAACAGAGCAATCAGTTTCAGAAGCAGATAAACATCTGGGGTGGTATCTAATGCACTTGTTCTGTTAGCAGAAGGATTTTCGCTTGCACAATGGAACTCTTCCCCTCTCACACCCTGCCCAAATCTGCTCCGGAAGGCTAGAGGAACAACTAGAACAGATTTAGGGGGCGTGCATGGGGGGGGGGAGAAGTTATGTTGTACAAACTTAAATCCTTCTGCTGATGTAACAAGCGACTTAGAGCTGCATAGGGTACAGCCCCGTGTTCCAAACGATATGATACCTGTCAGCAGCATGTGTAGATAGAAACATATATCAAGTTTATTTAATTCAACATTTGAGCTAGTTATGCCACATCTGTATTTGCTGTGTATCTCCTGAATATCATAGCACTCAATGAGACTATAAGAAGAGAAACATGCAGATTGAGCTGCTGAAAACTAATTAACACCCCGCTATTTTCCATTGACTTCTGCACTTAAGTCCGCATCTACATCCCAGGGCATGTCTATGATAGGGCAGGATTCAACTAAGTTGTGTACACAGAATGTGGTCTGCATTCTTGCATCCTGCTAAATCTACCCTGGAGGGTTAGGAGAATCAAAATAACAGGTTTAGGGAGCACAGGAGGGGGGGTGAGAGGAGGGAAAAGCCTCTTTGCACCATATGTGCATGTATACCCCACCCAGTCTTTACCTGTAACTTTTCATCTCCCAAGCGCAACTGATACAGCAAAGCTGGAGAATCTGGGTGACGGACTTGAAACTCATGATCTTTTAGTCCAGATAAATCCTGATAAAAAAAACACAGAAAAAGGTATTAATGCTTTAATGAACTTTCAAATCTTTCAAACTACACTGAGAAGAGATCAGCCACACATGTGAATTTTCAGTTTTCTCCCCACTGTTGGTAACTTCATAACCTCTATTACCATTAATTATGCAGCTAAAAATCTGTAATGTCACACTAGACTGTGACCAAACATGGGCCTGGGAAACAGCAAATCAGAAGTGTGGAGCTCCTCATCTTGGTCTTTAGACTTACCTGGTCTAAATGGCAAAATGTTTCTTTTAAGTGCTGCAGGAGAAGGCAATCTGTCTTTTTAGCTAGTTGGCAGTCTCTGTAAGGGAACCCAGCTCGCTGCATAAGCCAATAAAAGCATCTTGACACATCAGAACCTCCATATGCAAGGCATAACCTAAAAAAAGCAGCAACAACCATTAGAAGACTTGCTTTTTTTCACCTGAATGTTACTGCCACTTTATAATAGTTACCTGGTGTTACGATGCGAAACACCGTCTTCGACACAGCAGACACTTGTCTTTTGATCCCCCACGTCAACGACGCATGCACTACCTAAACCACTTCCAAAAGTAGCACAGACAGATTCCTGATGGACCACTATGCCTGAAAACAAAATGGCAGGAATACTGTTATATACACTGCTTTGCTACCCTACTCAGAAACATTACTCATATGTGCCCCACTACTGAACACTTCCCATAACATGCCCTCTTTTATATATATAAAACTCTGGGAAGTGTTTTAAACAAAAGAGAGGAAGAAATGTGTTTATTGCTACCCATGCGTTTCATAAATAGATCAACATGTCACCACGATAATATTTTCCAGCTTCCCTGTTTTTACATCTTTTAAAATCAGTGTTTCATGTCTCTGCATCTCCCAACCAACTTCAGTCTTTTAGACAGTGAGCTGAAAATTGCTATTTGGAGCAGGACTCATCTGACCAATGCACTTGTTGGTAGGAGACAGCTGGGAGTGACTGTAGCAGAGGCTCTGGATCTCAGTAGTGTTACATCCAGTTGGGGCCTGTCCTATAGTGGAAACTAGATGACAATACCTCTGAAACGCTGTAAGATACATAAGTAGATTAGACGGTTTTGACTCAGCAAACACAAGTTTGTATTGGCCAAACACTGGAGTAATTTCTTTAGAATTTGGCCATAGAGTTGCACATTACTAATTTCATGATATATGTTGCCAAAGGCTGAACTATTTATTCACCTGGTTGAGACATGGGTGGCTGTAAGGGCAAAAAAACATTCTGAAAGTTACATGATTCCAACTTAGAAACAAAAGGTACCTTCAAAACCCTTGCACTAAGCTGCTGACCACAAATGTTGCTTTATTACCTGAGAATCCCATCTTCATTAGGATCATATTTACTATTTCTTTCACATGCTGCTTGTTATAGATGTCTGGTATTAGCAAAATACACCTGTAATACTGAAAGAGAAAAGAACAAACTAGGATTCATTTTCCGGTCTGTTGGTCTTCATACAGTGGAACGGGTTGATGCCATGAGTTATCTAAATAATTTCAATTATTGAAGGAAGCAAAAATATTGGTTAAGAGCTAGAGCCAATTACATCATTGAAATGTTTTAATCCAGGGCATGGGGAAATCTAACAGCTTTGGACCTTGGCTGTGAGGTGCCAAATTTCCTCCTGGATGTTGAACCAATTCTTGTAATGCAGGAGGGCTAATTGCAGGATTTTCATTCTCTCTGAAAAATGCCAGAGTCCACATTCTCCCTTGGGCAACCCACAAGGGAGGCCACAAAGCGGTGAGGATGCGGCCTGCACACGCAGGTACTAACTAGCACAAGAACTTCCATCTGCACAACAGGACATCCTCTCCCTCTCCTGAAGCCAACCACAGCCATTTGCTATAAATCTTAATAGGGAGGGAACCAGAATTCCTCTGGCTTTTCTTTAGTTTTGATAATCACGCTTATATTTTGCATTTTACAAGCAGGTTTAATTTGGGGTCATTTGTTTTTCTACTGTTATTATCTGATTTGTTAGCTTCCTTTGTGAAATCAGGTGGGGCAGAAGTATTTTTAAAAATAAAGGAATTAATTATTATATAAACAACTAGAGCTCACTTGGTAGGGAACTGCAGTGAACACCATAGCTATAAAGGATCTACTAAGCACCTCCTTAACAGGGCCTTCTTGGTGGTTGCTCCCCATTTGTGGAATGCCCTCTCCTATGAGGTGTGTTGTTCTCATTAACTTTTAGGAGCAATTTAACAACATTCCTGCTTACCCAGGTATTTGATGGCTGAAAGACCTGTCCCTGAAAACCCTGCAATTAATAGTTTTGAGGGTAAGCAATTACTTTTAAGAGTTTTTAACTGTTTTCATTCTATTGTTTCAGTATTGATATGTTTGCCACCATGGGCTCCTTTAGAGAAAGGCTGGGATATTAATGAATTAGTTAAACTCTTATTCTAAAGGTTTTAAAACAGAGTAGTGCTTTAGATGATCTGATGGGAAGTATACATCTAAGAAGGTGCTACCAAGGAATGTAGGACCCAGACTGCCAAAGGCTTCAACAGTCAAATCGTTTTGCAGCAACAACGATGAAACGCTGACAGTCATTGTCATGAACAGATGAAGTCTGCCATAGCTCACCTTCAAATCCTTTAGCGGTATTTCTAAATACTTCTGTATTGCATGCGACCATATAACTTCAAGATCAGCTAGGACTGCAGTAAGGGAACCACTTGGCCCTGAGTGAAGGTTCAACTGCCCTCGATGAACAGGCCAATGAACATTGTAACAGTCCATAGGGTTAACATATAATGCCTGAAAAGAAGAATTGACTATATTTATCTCGTTCAAAGTTTAATTGTGAACACTTGGAATTTCTGTACATTTGCTAGTCTGTGACACATCAACACAAAAAAGCATTCCAAAGCAAACTGAAACATACAACAAGCCTTTAGTGGTAACAGAAAACTAGCAATTCTTTTTTTGAAAAAAAAGACAAAAACTTTTATGCCATTTTAACAGCTTTTATACACACACCATACAATATCCACCACATCACTTTTCTAAGACTTCTCAGTCCATCTCTGTGTGGCATTCTAGGGAAATCTTGATCTGCTGCATATCCTGATATTCCACCCATTATCATCTCAAGTCTTCCTTTTTTGATCTTATCTGCTGCCTCATAATAAAGTCTGAGGTCTGGAAAGGCAAAGCCCCCTCTTTCTCTTACATCTGTCAGATTTTTATATTTAATTCAGGGGTGTTTCCCCCTGCCAAATGAAGTTTGTCACATCTTTCTTCCACTGTTTGAAACAGTTTGGGCTATTTATCACCGGGCAATGTTTAAAATAAAAAGATCATCTTGGGCAAAACATTCATTGCGACTACGGATATTCTTCCTCACAAAGAATGGTTCATTCTACTCCATTTTTCTAGACTTTTTTTTATTTCATTCCAGATTTTAACATCCGTTATCCTGGAAAAGGTTTAAGTTCTTAGCAGATATCCATATCCCCAAATATTTAAACCCCCCCCCCCGTGATAGTCTCAAGTTTATCTTTTGCTTCCGAGTCTAGACTTTTTACTATCAATTTCCCCCCTTATTTATACAGAATCCTAAGTTGCCAAATTTTGTTATAGTTTCTATTATCCTTGGGATGCTTACTATCAGATTTTCCAACGTCAACACAATGTCGTCCGCAAAGGCATTCACTTTGTACTCTCTCTGCCTGACCTTAATTCCTGTTGTTTCATCAATTTTTGTATTTCTCTAGTCAACACTTCTAATATTAGGATAAATAACAGTGACAACATAGGGCATCCTTGCCTTGTCCATTTTTTAATGCTGCATTTTTCTGTAACATTACCATTTATTATTAAGCTTGCCTATTGCTCTGTATAAACTGCATTTTTCCCGTTGGAGAATGCTGTTCTGAATGCCATATTCTCTGTAGAAAACTAGCAATTCTTTTCGTTGCTTTTCTTAAAATAAGACCATCATAAACATTGCATTTTGCCACACTGCCCTTGATGGCCTGTGTTCCAGAACCCATATTGCAGCAGCAGTGAATGGAAAAAGCAGCTGCCTTGCATAGTCTTCAGTTCTATTTTCCCTGGATGAGTAGAGTGTCAATAGAGTCAGTTTTAGGTTGGCATGGCCGGTTTGGCCACACTGCAGGGGGCTGTAGAACGGAGAGCAACAGGTGCAGGGGGACTGAATTTTAGTGTTGCACGGGGGGCTACTGAAATTTGAGAGCCCCAAGTCTGCCACCAGTGTCAATAGGAGAGGGGTGGCGGAGGAATCCTGACAGAGATGTTTTTCTTACCAGTTTAAAACACTAAAAATTCAATTGAAGACTGTTATAAAAACAGCTTAAAAGTTAATAGGTTACATATGAAAACGTATTGCTCTGTTCCGATCAGCATTCACTAAATTGGTTTCTTTCTCTCAGGCTTGTAAACAGCCACTTGCCTTGTGAGCATTAGGAATATCCTCAAGGCAACCCAGAAGGGATTTCTGTGTGAACTGCAAGATTGCTTCTTCTTTTTCAAACTTCAGGAGATCCATGTGCCACAAAAAACTAATGTAAAAACTGTGTTTTTCCCAAATACATTTTTTTAAAAATACCTATGGTTGCTTAACTGTACATGAGATACAGGATGAGAATTACTTTTAATGAAATGAGGCAAGGTGCTCCTACCTCTTCTCCAATGACATATTCGGGATGATGGGAAGTGTTTGTCCATTTTGTTCCAGAGCTATGATCTAAAATAGCAGGTCTCATCTGCCTATTGTAAGATCGGGCCTGAAATGTAAATTTGAAACAAGGAATAGGGAGAAATGGTCACACTTAAAATGAAACTATTTTTCAAAGTCTATCTTAAGAGCACAAACGTGTAGTCATATGCTATATGAGTTGCTCAAAATTTATCGTAATGTATATCTCTCTGTTGAACTGCTATCCCTCTGTTGAACTATTATACGACAAAAAATAAATTTCCAGAGGGAACACGGGAGATTGCCTTAGACGAGCCCGCTAAGGCTAAGTTTTATCCTAGCTAAGTTTTCTCTAATCTGACTGGTGGTCAGCAACAAGGGCCTCAGTCTTTCACATCAGCTGCTTACCTGGTCTTGTTTAAATTTCAGATGCCACAGATTGGACTTGAGATCCTCTGAATGTCAAGCACAGGGCTATGGTCCATTCCTGCCTTTAAACTATTTTGAAGACTGGAGTGGTGTTCAAGTAAGGATTAGTCATAGTAGATCAAGTGAAATTAATGGACCTAACTTAGTCATGATCATTGATTTCAATGGGCCTACTCTAACTAAAACATAGTTGAATACTAGCCTAGATTTATTAGTGCTGCTACCAGGCTTTTCACTGCTTTTACACACCTCAAAAAGCAATTTCTATCAATCAGTTTATAAATGAGATACCTGATCAGGTGATACTGGTATACGTCTGGCACCATTTGACATCTTTTTGGACCATATTGCTTGGTCAACCATTTTAAGACCATTCTGTCTTTGTTCAGTACTTTCAGGTTTCTAAATAAAAGCAAACAATAAGTAACCGTCCTCTAAACATAGAAGTGGGTCTTTTGACTTTCTTAATGAAATTATTTTCAAAATACTTTTACAAATATTTTAAAACTCATGTAAAATATCAAGGCAGTTTACAATACATTCAATAAAACTTAAAACACCCTAAAAATACAAAAGAATCATTAAAATAGCTCTCTAACCAATAAAATGTAAGCAATTGCAAAAGCACGTTGACATCCTCTCCCTCTGCCCCCAAAAGAAAGCTCAGAATCAAGCATAGTCCTTTGCAAAACTGCTATGATTTTCTTTCTATTGTCCATGGACTTTGCGTTTTTAGAGACCACAAATGTTTGAGGAGTAGAGTAAGCTAATGCATTTCCCATTCAGATCTACAAAACAATACCTTTCCCACTCCTTGTTTAAAAAGCCATTTTTAAAATCTGCTGGCTCAATCATTTCGACAATATTTTCATTTTGCTTTTCTTTTCCTTTGACTGTGATTTCATGATAGCCACCATTGTCAGAAGCAGGTGATTTATCAATGAAGCCAGAAAAACTATACTTGCTACACTACTCTGCAGAAAATGCCTGTGTAAATTAAAGAACTGCTGGTGACCTTTGAATAAAAAAAGATACCTATATATATAATATTACATTGTACATTCAATTTTTTTGTGCCGAACTGATATCTACATAAAAGAGAGTCCTGTGTGATGTGGTCCTCAGTGCTTGGTGCAAAAATCTGTCCCTCTTAAATCTTGTGCCATTTATAGCAAGTTTAATGCCATAGCCTGCGTTAATTCCCATATGTAGCTGGTATAGATGATGCAAGACAAACACATGTTATTACAAAGGCAAGCTGTTATCGTGCAACCCAAAGAAGTAAGGATGACAAGGAAAATTAGCACACCAAAAAAACAATGTAGTTCAAATGAAACAGTTCAATTTAACATAATACTCAAATTCTAAGACTTACATTGAGTCCTTCCCTTAGAAGCCAACTGTCTTTGTATGTGGGTTGCCCTTGCTGCTTGTGCCTTCTTGCAATGACGTGAGGAATGCCAATAGGAAGTGTGTCTGTAGCTCTTCCAATCCTTAAAGTCATTGAGCCAGGATGTATCACAACAATGAAGTTGCTCTGTATTTGCTAAAAATAGTAAAATAGATAAACAAACAGGAACAGGAACCAGCAAAGCACAGTACTCAGTAGGCGCCCAAACATATAGTCTATGCCTCATTTTGAAAATTTGTATCTTTTTACACTTTGAGCTGCCATCAGCAAACTATAGCTGTTAAGTTCTGTAACAGTGCTTTCCCCTCCCACAAAGGACATTTACGTAAGCTTTTCTGCATATCTGGAATAGTGTTTTAGATGGACAATTGTTGTACAGTGGAACCTCAGGTTGCAAACGTGATCCGTGGGGGAGGCATGTTTGCGACCTGCAGCTCTGCGTCTGCGCGGGTTGCAATTCTGCGCTTCTGCGCATGCGTCGAAACACGGAAGTAACCCGTTCCAGTACTTCCGGGTTCGGTGCGGTGCGCAACCCAAAAACGCGCAACCTGAAGCGTCTGTAACCCGAGGTACCGCTGTATTTGAAAAACTGACAGAAAGGGTGCATGCCAAGAGTGTCACATCTGATGCAGACAATTTTATCAAAATATGGTACAACTATGGAAATAATAATATCATTTAGACATTCAGAGAACCCAAGGCTTGAACTCATTGCAACATGGAATAACGCACAGCATGTCAGCCTCGTGCATCCTGTTTTCTGATAGGCGGAACACAGTATGAATGCTCTAGTTATTAAATGATATTACAGATCTCATTTGCAAACGACTAAACAACAAGGCTAACAGTCAACATCAGTAGACAGCATCAAGAGTGAGCACCATCAATTATAGGAGAAGGCACTGTAATATTACTATTATAAACTAATATGAACCTCTTTTCATAGGATGCTACAGGGGATATGTTTCTGCTGCATTAAATTCATGTTAAATGTCCCTACACACTGAAACAGCATTAGCTTGCCCTAGGGGCAGGTACTTCACTTCCATAGCATTTTCATTACCAGCTCAAGGTTTTTCACAAATCCTGGATAAGGTGGCAATACAGCTGGCATGTAAGTGAAGTGCTTTACAAATAAAATTAAAGATCAGTGAGTAAACTGCTGCTTGGAAATACTGTATAGGTGCAAATGAGATCTGCAATATCTTTTAATACATAGAGCATTCATACTGTGTTCCGCCTATCAGAAAACAGGATGCACGAGGCTGACATGCTTTGCGTTATTCCATGTTGCAATGAGTTCAAGCCCTTAAAATAAAAGGCAAGTCCAAGTATCCCATCGTGGGACACCTCTCTGAAGGGGCGCAGCCCACGGAAAGCTTCACCTCTTGACTCCACCGGCCCTATGAAACCGGGCCTAGGCTGTTGTGCGGGGATCCCGCTGGGCAGAGGCTATTGTGCGCGAGGGCGGAGGTGAAGAGCGCCGTGCTTCCCGGGCCTCGCCGCCGCCAGAGCCGAGAGCGACCCCCCCCCCGAGGGCCACGGGAGGAGCCTCTCCGCCTAAGCCGGGGCTCACCTCCTGCAGGGAGTCCGGCACGGCGGCAGGCACGATGGGCCTCTTGGCGCCGCGCTGCTCCTTCTCCTTGTCGCGCTCCTTGTCCTTCCCATTCTCCGCCGCCGCCGCTTCCCCTTTCTCCGCCTGGGTCATCCCCGACCCCGACCCGCTTCCTCCGAGGGTCGCTCGAGCGAGGCAGCGGGAGGCTCCGGGGAGGCGGAGGCCGCTTCTCCGCCCCGAAAAGGCTGCGACGAGGAAGCCGGCGCCCGACCCCTTCCTCCGCCTCCAGCCACCCGGCGGCGGGTGTGGCGCAGAGACAAGGCCTAGGCGGAAGTGAGCGGCCGCCGCAAGACGGCCTGAGTCGCGTCTTAGTGCTTTAGCTGAGCTTCCCGATATGTACTAACTTCTTCCCCTCCTGCCTTGCTGTATTTTTTTATAGGCGAGGCATGGGCGTAGCCGTGGGGGTGCATCGCCCCATCAAGTAAATAAATAAAAATACGTAATTGACCTATTGCATCGCAGATAAATCGATTCTGCCTCCCCACCCCCACCCCCAAAATAAAAAATAAATCCTGGCTACGTCCCTGAGGCAAGGGGAATGGCAAAGGCACTCAGGGACAGCAAGTGTGGTATCTCTTGGCCCTATGCACGCAGAAAGCTGTCATACTTCACACCAGCCGCCAAGGGCCGTCCAAGATGTTTGGGCGCCTGAGGTGGACTCCAAAATAATTGCTCCTCACCCCGCCAGGGAAGGTTTATGTTAAGAACAAGGGGGCAGGGGAGAAAGAGCAACACTGGCACCTGCCACCCTGTAGATCCTGCTGCCTGAGGCAGTCACCTCATGGGTTGGCCAGCCCTGGCAGAGACCCATCTACAATAGTACCTCCGGTTGTGAACAGGTTCCGTTCTGGAGCTCCGGTCGCATCCCAAGGAATTCGCAACTGGAGGTGCCGCTTCTGCGCGTGGTACGGTTTAGCGCTTCTGCACATGCAGGCATGTAGAGCGCTTCTGCGCATGGTGTGTAGAGCACTTCTGCGCATGCACGTGGGACAAAACCCGGAAAAATATTTCCGGGTTTGCCACGTACATATCCCGAAGGATACATAACCAGTGGTGAACACAAGTTGAGGTACCACTGTAGTTCAGTATCGGCTACAACAGCCTTCTCCACCCAACCTGTGGCACCCCCCAGATGCTCTGGACTACTATGGCAGTGCTGGTTGGGGCTGGTGGGAGTGGGATCCAAAAGAAAGGACACTAGGCTGGGAAAAGGCTAGCAAATTCCCCAGACAGGAATCTAATCCAGCCCCTCCTGGAGATGCCTGGGACTGAATATGGTAGAACAAATGAGGTGCTCTACTGCTAAGCTATGGACTTCCACAAGTGATATTCTATGGCACTGAAAGTTACTTGAAGATTAACTATATATCATATGAAAGAATAAAAATTTAAATCAATTCTTAAATTTCACCATAAGCTCTATTAATTTCAGTTAAAGACAGTAGCGATGGAGCAAATCACAACTAGTTTAGGGGCTGCACAATCCAGCAAGGATGAGTTATTGCCAGTCATAAGTAGTGGTTTCACAGGAAATGCAGTTTTTAGATATGCATGGGGTTGTGAATCTGATTCTACCCTTTTCCTCAATTCATGTATTCTGAAGTCAACCTTTAAAAAAGGTTTTGTCATAGGCATGACTTGTGAACCTTTAGAACAGTTTTTTAAAAAGAAAATTATTCCAAGCCAGTCTTTTGCAAAGCTATATTTATTTCTTATAACTTTACAGCTACAACAAAATTTTCACAAACTATACAAAAAGGCTTAAAACAAACATTAAACAGGTGCATTTAATTTAATAGAACTGCATTTCAGTTACACTGGATCCTGGAAGTCGGAATTCCCAGCACAACTTCATTGTTCTGCTAATCCACAGAGCAGTGAATGATTTAGACACACACACAACACTCAGACCCATTTGGTCCATCCGCCAGGAGGTCATTTCAGTGTTGCAAATGTGTGTCCAGTTGTCTGCCTCTCAAAAGAGGCATTTACCTAAGAAGAAGAAAATACTGATTAGTTTTCTGGCTATGTTGCAATTGCATACATTGCATACATTACAAACAATGAAATTTGCACCAGGAGCTTATGAGGTCATCACATTTGTTTTTCTTCAGGCGGCAACCTCCACCAAACCTGACAAAACTGCTTTTGAACCCAGAAAAATGTTGAACATGATTTGTCATGTAGTATGGGGCAGTCAAAGAAAATAAAATAAATCTAAAATCACATTAGATTTACTTCAGTCTTAAGTAGCTTTTAAAATCCTGGCTATTAAACAAAGTATGATACATTTACAGTAAGATATCAATACAAGTATATTTCTTTTAAGTAAACATTATTTAACACAAAGCATAAAACATAATCATCCTCAATATACAAAGAATTTCTGTACAGTATAAGGATGGATTCTAATGACCGATTCTAATTGCAGAGATTTTTTACTAAAGTAGCTGGCTCTCTACAAATAAGTTTCTGTTGGAGCTGGACCAAAAATTGACATGTGCTGAAGTTCAGTGTGGAAGCTGTGACCATGGAAATCCAAAGTAAGTGATGTTTAACGTGCTAAAAAAGAACAATAACAGCCAGGAAGGAGAGTTTGTCATTGTCCTGGTAATGTGCTTCAGCATATTCTTAGGATGCAGAAAGGTCACTCATTATTAGAGTGTTGTTCCTTATGTAACAAAAACAAAAAACAAAACAAAAAGGTACCATCCACACTTCTAGGTTTGCAGAAGTGCAAAAAACTTAGATTTTTTTTATAAATTAGAAAATAGCCCAATGAGGGCTGAACATAGTTGCCACAGATCAAATGATGTCTATGGCGGAAATATATGAAAAGCCAAGGGGGAACAGAAGGCAGAGAAGAGAGCATAGCTACCAAGAAGCCTGATCAGGAGCACTTCACAATGCAACATTTTGTTGCAGGTCCCACTTGTATATTACTGATGCTGAGTTTATATCCCCTTCATACATTATGCAGCTCCTTATCTCTCAACCTCTCTTACTGAAATCCTCTAAGTATTCAAAATATTAGAACACTATAGGTCTGGACACAGCGCAAATCTAACAACACTACTCTGAAGTAAGTTCTATTTAATTCAATGGGGCTTGCTCCCAGGTAAATGGGATTAAAATTACATCCCAAACCAAGTACAGTACTAAAAAAGGGGGAACACTGGTTTTTCCCTTCGCAGATCTTTGCCTAATGTCAAAGCATGTAGAGCAGACACCTTTCCTTTCTGAATAGTGGGCAGGAGGAGGAACAGGGCAAAATCTAAAGCCCACCCATCTGCCCTATATGCACTTAAAACTATAAAATTATTTAGTTTTGCAGCCACCAATTACTAGATTTTTCCTCTGATTTTGCAAAAGAAAAAATCGTGTTCCTAAGCCAAACTAAAGTTCATTTTTTAATTCAGAATCCAAAAAACGACAGCTCATAGGTTACCTTCCTCATCCACCTCCAGCCATTGGTGGAGGACTTGGACCTCCTCCAAAGTGGTTTATTCGACCCATTCTACGACGAGGAATCCCTGGAGGCCTAAAACAAACAAAAGCAAAATGTGAAGAGAAAACACCTGGCAAGAAATCCCATCAGAGAAGCACCTTCAGATACAGCAGATTATGGGTTTCTAAGATTAGTAAAGTAAGTTTTCCTTTCTTAGGCTCCCTAAAATGCAAGATTCCTTATCAACAGATGAGATACCTTTATACCAGAGCTTGCCAAACTTTTCATGTTGGTGACACACTTTTTAGACGAGCATCATTTCATGAGACAGTAATTCAGTTTTACTAGCAAACCAGAGGTTAAACCAGTCCTTTTTTTTCTTTAAAAATGTTTAGGGGTACTCTCATTTTGACTCAATAAAATCACCATTTTATAGTTCAAACCAGGAAAAATAAATACAGTAAATGGACAAAAGTACGAAGATTCACAAAATGTTTAGGGGTATGTGTACCCCTTCGTCTCCCTAGAAAAAAATGCACTGGGTTAAACTAACCCCTTTCCAGCCCTTGGACGAGAGCAGGGAGCATTCACATGGCACACCTACACATGGCAACCGACACACTAACGTGTTGTGACACACAGTTTTCAAAGCTTTGCTTTATACCTTTATAATGTGAGGCATCTTTACAAGGATGGCCAGCTAAGCTTGAAGTAAATGCAGCATCTCTCATGCTGAACTAAATTTGGAAGATTTTAATAACTGAAGTTAGGGTGGGGCTCACATATGGTCTCTACATGTAGTTTTGCATCCAGTTGGGCTATGCACAGACCTTCAGCATAGAGCAAGGCCTGACACAAGTGGGCCTCACATCATATGATCCTCTGTGATGATGGCTATCTGGTGACAGCTTACTTGTAAATGGATTTTCAGGCTCAAACTCACAATAGGGATTCTACTTGAGCTCCCTCACCTTGCTCCTGTTCTTCACCATGTGCAAGATCTAAATACTGGGGATGTGTGCGAAACAGGCCTAAATATCTTCTGTTTCCATATAATCTGTCACATATTGTTTGCTCATACATTTTTGTTTCTTTCAGTAAAACACACAACATAGCAACCTGACTTTTTAATAAGATAGTAGTATTTTGTGTACCATCTAAATCAACTGCCTGTTTGGTTAGGCTGATGGGATATGGGAATCCAAAAACATTGGGAGTGCAGCAAGTTTCCCCACCCTAAATTAAAATGAAAAAGCAGTACCCCCTTCCATCATCGTATCTTGAAGAGGAGGTAGATGTGTAGCCTCTCCTTGTCAAGTCTGGGTGAATAATGCTCTGGAAACTGAAATGACAAAAGATTCCCATTAATCCAGTGCCACAAATAACAGGGTTAAGCAGCAGGGTTAAGCAGTTCAGTAGTAGTATTAAGTTTAAATGAACAGCAAAATTGGCCTTTCTACAATTTTTTTTCTATCTTTACTTCTGAAGAGAATATATATATCTCTGGAGAGATACATATATTTTCTGAAGAGAATATCTATCTATCTATCTATATATATCTCTCTCCCGGTCCAACATTTGTCAATTGAATGGAAGACTGACAAAATCTAAATTTGAGTCAGGAATTATTTTAAATAGCCTTTATGAGACACCAAAATATTATCAGGGTGTCCCCAGAAGCCTAGAATGCTGGTTTCCTTTTTTCAGATGTCACAAGCATCTCATGTTATTAAGTTTCCTGTGCACTGATCAATTTAATTTTAATCAATCATTTCTTTTTCTTTCTTGCTTTGTGGAGTATTGTCATCTCACGACTCTAAAAGAAGGGACGACCTAAAGGATTTATTATCAGATGCATACTGCTCTTCACAACGAGAGATTTAAATCTAGGTCTATTTTACTGAAGAAAAGCTTTGCTTGGTG